CTGGTCCCCACAAATTGCACAAAAAAGCTCTGCGCTTAAAAATAAAAATAGGATAGTTGTGTGTTGTGTCCAAAAAAACGGCTGATGATGGTCGTTTTTTGTCAGCCAAACTGTGTAAATTGCGCAATAATTTGTTTATTTGATCTGACAAACAATAACATAGTGGGCAATATGTTTTCAGCATAATGTTTGCTTACAGCTATCAAAATCGCCTATAGTAATGGGTGTGTGTTAAGTTGTGTTGCTCAAACACAACCGACATTAATCACATTATCAGGTGGGTAGCACGTAGTCGCCACACCATTGGGAATTTCACCCGAAGGCTGAGATGGTGAAATGTTATTGGGGAGGACGAGGACGAGGACTCATCCATGGCACTGCGGTGATGCTCTTTCATGCAAATCCGGTCTCATCCTAATTTATGCTGCGGCTCAGTTTACAAAATTTACATGAGCTTGCTTTTTGGGGGAGACGGACGGATGGACGGACGAACGGACGGACGGATGGACGGAACAGCAGCAGCAGCTGCTTGACCTACTCCGAATCCCCAACATTCCCCCACCGGAATCACTTAAGTCCGTCTATATGCATTGAGATGGCAACATTTGGCTGCGCACACCCACACAAAACTTCATATTCATAACATACACGGCCCCTGTTTTCTCCATGTTTTTTGCGGTCTCAAGACAGAGCCCCGAAAAAAAAGGACAAACGATAAAAGGACGAGCCTGGTGGACATCAGTTTGGCTACTTAGTGGCCAAACATTTGACATAATCGTTGATAAGGGATTGCTTAAAAAAAAACGAAAAGAAAACTGCGAAAAGGACCACGCACCGAAGAAGAAAAAAAAACTAGACGAAGGAAAATGTTAGATAAATAAAAGAACAAAGCACAATCTGGGCGAGTTTCTTACCTAACTGAAATCGCAGTTGGCACGAGTAAAGAAAAATAAAACAAGTTTCAAGCGAAATGTGGGTCAAGCGAGCACAGAGAATTTTTCGGAGAGATTTATCGATGCCCTATTTAGATACACATCTTACTACAACATATCTCGTATATGATTTGTCCATTATTTATATTTTCGGTTTTTTTCTGGGAGCATTAAACAAGAATAAAACTATAAAAAAATTGGCAAAAAAAATATTTTTGTTTTTTTTTTTTTAATATTTTTTAAATTTATTACAAAAGTGTTGTCTCTTGAATTATTTGTTTTCCATAAAATATATTTTTTTTTCAAACGAAACAAATGTTTATAAAGGCTTTTAATTAATAAAATAAAAACATTCAATTCCTTTAAATAACAATATTGAAAATAATACCCATATGCCTAGAAATGGTTTTTTAAATAAATTCCATTTTTTCATTAAATAATTTAAAATAAAATCAAACAGATGAAAAAATCAAGACTTCAAAAGCATTCAAATATTTGTTGTTTATATTATCTTGTTTATTATAATCTTGGTTGCAGCTGTACGTACACACACCCATATTTGTCTATCAAACAACCATGGCTCAGAATTTAAATTCCCTAGCCGGCGCCTAGGTAAAAAAAAAACAAAATGAACAGAAATAGAAACTGTCATGCATTTTAATGTCGGATCGGAACACGTGTCCTTTAATTAAGCACCGAAAAAGTAATCAAAATGCGTTGCCTGTTTTTTGTTGATTTTTCGCATGAGTTTTACATAACGCATACGCCGCGTGACCCCGCTGCGATAGCAACGCGTTCCTCGATAAGTTTTTGATAAATATTCAGATTCCCCCTTTGTTCGTTTGGCCTGACAAGTGGCTACCATTTTTTAATGTCACTTTTTGTGTGTGCTTGTGGCCTCAAGGGGGTGGGGATGGGTGTTTCAAGGGTGTTTAAGGGAAGGTGGAGGGAGAGGGAGGTGTGGTGGTGTCTTCACTGCCCAATGGAGCGTACATTTTGAAATTGAAATCGGCAGGGGCGACGAAAGGGAAGGAGCCACATCAGCAGCAGCCGCTGCCAGTTTCTTTCTATTTTATCTCCCCGACAGTCAGTGGATGCTTCATTGAGTTTTATGTATATAGCTATAGCTGCTATATATATATATATATATATACAGGAATATGTATAAATGTGTATATATAGGCCATGGAGCGCAGGGAGTTGTTGTTCGCCTGACCAGGCAAAAACTCATAAAACTTGCAGTGGCTCCTTTGCCTTCCTGGGGCTGCTTAAGCTGGTTAGGCGTTCGCACAAAGTGTTAAGTCTCTTACTTTGTTTTCACCTCCCCGACCTCTGACCCCCCTCAATGACCCTCCCCGAGTTTCGTCCTTTACGTCCCTTTGCGGATGTTTGAATGCTTTATAATTACATTTTATGTGCCATCGTTGTGTATATAAGATGCCAACAGGTGCAATCCATCGACTCTTCGAGATGAATTAAGAGCCTGCGAGGGCACTGGAAAAAATTTCCAGTTATATTAAGACCCTTAATATCAAGCTGACATTTTATACTATTCATATTTTAAGCGATTGGTTTTATATATTTATTTTTATGTTACTATGTATTTATATGTATACACTTTTTGATTTAGTTCCAATATTGTGTGTTGACTGGACTCAAATTCAAAAGGTTTTTTCATAAATTAAGTATGAATGTTTAATGTTTAGTTAATAATCTTTAAAAATATCTTGCCCCCTTTAAAATGATCTTTTTTAAAGTTGTTGTCAAGGGATTCATTCATTTTTATAAGTGTAAAAGCCTACGTCAAGTCAGAAGCCTCTTTCTCCATCTTCGTTTATTTAGTTTACAGTCTTTATTGAATGTTTGCCTTTGGCTCCATGGTTTCAGCGATGTAATTGCTCGAGTTTAATGGCCAATCGCCGTATCCTGTCAGCAAAACCAGTTTCTGGCTTTAAGATACTTTTCCAAGGAAAAACTGGTGGGGGGGCCCCCCACCAACCACCATGCTGAAAAATGAAAGTCCCCGGAAATCGACCAACAATATCTGGGTCCCGCGGCGATTTGCTCATACTTTTGATTTGCATTTGCGACATGTTTACAGTCTCTTGCAGACATGAAATTCCCTGTTCGCCAAAAACTCGGTCTTTTGGTTTAATAAAAAAAAATAAAAATTCCATGATCCATCGATGGGCGTAATAAATCCGTTTCCGAGGGGCATAAATGAATGCCGAGTGAATGCCAAGTGAATGCTAAGTGAATGTTGAGTGTTTGAGTTTGGCAAACGAGTGAACAAGTGCGTTGCTGAGTGGGCGATGCTGTCCGATTGATGGCCTAATGATGGCGATGCGCCTGATTTGGATCAAGAATTTGCGGTTTTCGGGGGCGATTCAACAGCTGAATAATGAATGACGATTACTTCGCGCTCGATTTGGTCAGAAATTGTAATTCATTAGAAAATTGTGGCAAAACAATTGCCGAGCCTATGAATATTCAACGGTTTGCGATTGAGATTTTAGTTGAGTATTTGATTGATAGCTTTTTTTTTGCTTTGAGCTGTTTAATAACACATTGAAAAGCAGACGCTTTTTTATTTTAAGTGCCTTTTCATTTCAAAGTTATATTCTATTTATTTATTTTTTAACTGATTCGAAACAGACAATATTTATTTATACCTTGCAGCGCATTACACCTGAAAGCATAGATAACATTCATACATAATATTTATTTTATATTTTTGCGAATTACCGATTGATACATTTGAGATAGTACGTAGCATAGCCTAGTAATTGCAATTAAAATTGACTTGTAATTGAAACTGATCTAAAGCTAATCAGCATGATGGATGGGGGTCAAGTAGCTATCAGTAATTAGGTAATTCACTGGCTCTGTCGACTGACCCGTCGATTACGCACAAATCAAACTTTACGCAAAGTTAATGAACTTTGTGCTGACCCAAACAAACTCACCTGCGCTAGCTACCACCTCTTTTTTTCTATTTGTACTTTTACCCCCTCCACTTTTGGCACCACTCTCATCTTTCACCACCCCCTTTTTGGCACCCACCCACTACCCTTGACTACTATTTATTGCGGATGACTTTGGGCGCAAAGTTTTGTATTTCACTGCAAATGGGGCAGTGTGTTCGAGTGTTTGCCCAGCTTCAACAATATTAATTTGAATTGCAATATAAACAAGACAGTGCAGAGTGTGCGAAAGGGATGGAAACACGATTTCACTGAGAAAATATTGATTAGGAAAAACAAATCTGAATTGATCAAGAGTCTACAATAAACTAGGCTTGGATATGTATACAGTTTTCTTTAGTTGTTAAATCAGTGCAAAAAGTATTTTATTGTTTTGATAAATTTGTATGTATTGCAAGTTCAATTGGATGTTCTCTAATTATTTAAATGCCTTTAACTTTGTGTGCTTCATTTAGGAAATGTAAATTAATAATTGTAAATTGAGATTTATATTTTAAGAGGACTCATGATTTTTTTTTATTATACTTACATTTTGGTTGATTTATATAAACTGTAGCTTAACTTTTATTGCAGTGAACTAAAGTTATAGTACCCTTAAAAGATATTTTTTTTACTAAGATTTTGTATACTTGATACGTATTTTTCTGCGTGTAATTGTGTGCTGTTGCAAATACCGATGAGAAAGTTGTGGTTGCCCTTTAAACGACTTTTGGTTCTTGGAATTCGGTGAAAACTAAATCGTTCTGGTGCGAAACACTCAATTATGTGCTTTTATGTGTGCGTGTGTGTGTGTGATTGCGTGCGCTGAGTAGTGTTGTTGCTGTGCAACTAAATTGTTGGCCATTTTAATTAATTTCCACTTTAATGTTTACTTGAATAAATGTTTCCCTTGTTCTCCTTGCCTGCAGGCAACAACAACAGCGACTACCAGCGGATACGACAGCGGCAGCTACAGATACTTGTAACTAAAGTGACATGAGGCCTTAACAACAATAACACCAAAGCAACTACAGCAGCAACAACAACTACAAAAAAAAAAAAAAAAACAATAATAGCAACAGCAACAGCAACAGCAACAACAAGAACAAAAACAGAAAGAACAAAAGCTACAACAACAAGCCACCGTAGAGCACTAAAAACCAAATTACAAACAATTAAAAGCGAGCACAGGCAAGGATCCTCCAGAGAGCTTGACAACGGTACTGCTGCCACGCCCCCTGGAAAAACCCAAACCCAAACACAAGCACAGGCACACGCAGACAGTGAAAAAGGACCCCAGAAATACATACACACACACACACAAACACACACAGAGTCAGAGACACAAAAAGCCAGCTACATGCCTCAATGGCAGCTTCATCGTTTATGGCCAACTAAAACTGAGCAGCGGTCCCCGCCGAGGACCCCCGAATTTCAGGGATCCTGGCCACCAGTCCATCATCGCCGGGACCTTTGTCTTTGTCTCGCATCACGAACAGAAACTGAAACTGAAACAGAAACGAATACCACAGCAACAGCAACAGCATCACCAACAGCAACAGCAATAGCAACGCCACCGAAGGCGGCAATAAAAAGTTTGCTTTGTGTTTCGGTGTCGACATTGCCTGAACTGAAGCCCCATTCTCATTCTCCTCCTGCCACGCCCCCTTAGAGCGGTGTCGCCCTCGTTGTCGTCCTTGTCGTCATCGTCAGACGACGCCTGTGGGCACTCAATTAAGACCAATTCAACGCAACTTGAAAGCGACAACGGCAACAAAAGCAGCTGCCAAAGTAACAAAAACAGCGAAAGGAGCGAAACAACAATAGCTGGCGAGCAGCAGTAGCAGGAGAAACATTAGAAGTAGCAACAATAGTAGAAAAAATACCAGCAACGACTACATCAACACGCAGCAACAATTGCAGCTGCAGCTGCAGCAACATCAATAGTTGAAAGCAAAACAGCAGAAATTGCAGCAACTGCAGAAGAAGAAACAACAGCAATACCTTAATAAGCCTCTACATCTTGAATGGAAACAGAAACAGCTGTAAGAAAGAACAACAGCAATAGAAGCAACATCAATAGGAAACCCATCAGCAGCAAGAGCAGTTGAATAGACAACAGCAACATCAGGAACCACAAGCAACACCAGTAGCTAGACCAAGGTCAAAAGTAAAAAAAAAAACCCAACTAAAAGAGCAGCAGCGACAACAGCAGCAACTTAAGCAACACCAGCAACAACTTAACAAACAGCAGCAATTGAAGTGTAAATAACATCAGCAACAAATGAAGTAGAAACATTGGCAATAATTGCAGGACCTACATTAGTCAAGGCTATAAAAAAATACCAAAAAAAAAACAGCTGAATAAGCTGCAGCAACTGGGGAAACAGCAGCAGCATCTGCAACAGCTATTAAAGCTGCTGCCACAACAGCAATACAAGCGGCAAAAACAGCAGTAGCGGCAGCAAAACAAGCTGCAACATCGGCAGCAACATCATCAGTGGTAAAGTGAAGCAGCCACGCCCACGGAAACGCCTTCCCCCACTCACACGTACACAGACACAGACACAGAATCGGAATCAGAATCAGAAACAAAAACAGAGACATAGACATAGACATACAGAAACAGAAACAGAAAGCGAAATAGAAACAGAGATAGGTACAGGAGCAACATCCGCACGGACAGGACCACGCCCACGTATCGCAGGCGTGGGCGGCGGGCGGTCTGGTTGGTTGAGTGAATGTCAGGATGAAACTGAGCGTGAGCGCGTATCGGGCGCATGCATCCGCACACAAGAAGATCCTCTCCAGCGGCTATCACTCACAGCTCAACTACGGCAGCACTGGAGCGGCAGCGGCATCCTCCTCGTCGTCGGGGGCCACTGCAACGGGCCTATATACGGTGAGTCCACGCCCTCTTTAGCGCCCCATTAGCTCCCCAACCGCCCCTCTTTCATATCCATGTCCGCTCCGATTGCGATGCCGTTTCCCAGAAGGTCAATCTGTGTCACTCTTTTGCCGGCCACGTTTCTCTTACGTTTTTCCTCATTACACAGCGGAAAATGGTACTTCGAGTATAAGACCAATCTCTGTTCATTTCCTCAAAATGTTCTCCAACAAAAATAATAGGAACTTTGTCTTTCGCTATGGTTCCTTCGAACTTTCGATTAAGAAAGTGGTTTATTGCTTGCTTTTAGACACATTTACAAGTGATTTACAAACCTAGTGATTTCTTTCCCCTTTATTTCTCTTTATTTTATTTTACATTCTTTTATCACTCCTTATTTTTTATAATATAATCTTTTATATTTTCAGTATACAATATTCAGGATTTTATCAATTAATTAGATTATTTTATAAGTTTTTTATCTACTTCTTAGAATTACAAAACTTATTAAAATATAACAAATCCATTTGGAATATATATTTATAATAATAATGCCTAATAATAATAATTCATGATTGCGGACTACTTACAATATTATTTAAGTGTAGCCCTGCTATGGTTTCTGTGTAATTATTTATTTGGCTGTCAATCTTAGTGCCACAAGTACAAAACTTATTATTACTGCACTAGTCCCCTTTCGTGTCCTTCTAGTTTTATTTAATTCCTCCAATCTCCTTCCTTTCTTCCTTTATGCTCATTAATGTTGTGTGACAAACAATGGCATAGAATTTAAACATTTTTGATTATGAGTTTTACTATTATGTCCGGCCATGGTAGTTACATTTTAACGATATTGCTGGCGAAGGGCAGTGAAAACATGGGCATATCGAATGGAATTGAGACTACGGCCAATGCTTAAAAAAGTAGCCAAAAGTAGCTTCCAAATAAATATGGAAAATCCATTTGAGAAAATGGCCATAAAATGCAGCCCCGCTGTTTTTATATTCCCTTCAAGCCAGATCAAAGTCATCTTTTATTTTAAAGCTTAAATTCATTCCTTAATTCTCTTTAAATATAATGTTTATTGACTTTGAACCATTCAGGAATAAGTTTTAATATAGTTTTAAATTGAAACTTTCATGAGCTGGTTAACTAATTTCCGTCAGCATTGCCCACATAATGTTAAACAACTTCCCGATGGGAACTTCGTTAAACTAGTTACCTGAATTAAAACCAAAAACACAACAAAAAACATTAAAGCGAGAGCCCTAGATCAGAATGAATATTCATTAAAATTTCCAAACTGGCTAAAAGTTATTAAATTAGTTTTGAAAGCTCGGCCCGAATAGTTTTGCCCAGCTCATCGCTTAAACGACGCACAGTTTAGCACTCGCTGTCGGGGGTAAAATAATATAAAAGCCATTAAAGAATATCAAGACTCAGTCATAAAAGGTTGGTTATTCGCCCTTAATATGTGCACTCGATAGAACAATAGGTGCAGGAAATTGGCAACACATCCGATTTGTCATTGGCTAATTAAAACGTTGATGGAGGACTCCACTTCACTTTTTATCCCATTATAGTTTCGGGCAAAGCCATTTATGGATGGGAGCCTAACAGCTCGACTCTGAAAACCAACAGCAACCAACAGCAAACTACGGGCCCAGAACCACAATAAATTCCAATCAAGTTTTGTGGCGCACTTAATTGCCATGTCCACGGGCGGCAGCTGCTGGTGGCATGGCTCGGGATCGGAGCTCTAAATATACAGTTGGGGTCACCGTTGATAGTGCTGCCCAAAAGTATTATTTAAATAGTTACTCGTTCAGTGCTGCCGAAAAGCATTATTTTAACATTTATTCGTTTTGATTGACAGCTGCCATAAGTTAAACTTTTGACTAGGTTTCTATTGTGAAATGTGGACACTTGCTGAAAAAAAGAAAGGAATGGAAGGAAGTTACCAGAAGCTCTTTCACCAATAACTGACATATAAATAAATACATAAAAAATAATATTAAAATAGAAAACATGGAAATAATAACAGCATTGAATCATAATTATTGTTATAGTACCTAAATAAAATAATTTGATTAGTTTCACACATTTAAATAATAATAATTTTTACGATAAATTCAAATCACTTAATTATGCCATTATTATTTGGTGTTATTTTTATTTTAACGCTACAAATCGTTTTTGACACCATCTTAAAAAAAGAAAAGAAACTATCTTAAAACAAATATAACTTTTAATCTTTGAATTATTTTTTTTAAATATTACTTAAATGAAATATTTTGATAATGACCATAACTTAATGAAAAAGTCAAGGTAAATAACAATCACACAATTATGCAGCTATTATTTCTGCACTATTTATATTTCCACGCTGAAAATTACATTTTTGACATGGCAAAGATTGCCTTTTGATTTTACACAAGCATGAAAATACCACTATTATTTTGACCGCAGACGTACTATGTACATATATATGGGTGGCTCACCAGTGAAGCTTATTCTGGCACCGAACCGATTTGTCAACTAATTGGTGGGAACGTCGAACAAATCCCGCTAGATAGATATATATTATATGTATATATGTTATGCGGATTCCCCTATTTAGACCGGTGGCCAAATTGAAACCCTCCCACGGATTTGGACAGATTTGTCACGGACACACAAGTCCGGGATGAACATGGATACGGACATGGACACGGATTTCATGGACACGGAATACGGAATACGGACACGAGCACGAACACCGTCAATCTGTCCCAATGGTCAAATCGAAGCTTTCAAGTTTGCGGCACTCGAGTACTTATAGAAGTACATTCCCCAATGAAACTTGCTTTTGGCCATTTTCGGCCATTGGCGTTAAACTAACAATGGTTTTGGCTAACAAGTGGTCTCACACTGAGGGACTTTGATTTTATTGCGGTGCAATTGTGATGTCCTGATTAGTCTCGGCTAATTCCTATTGATTTTCGGGAAATATTTTGCGCACTGCTATGATTTTACCAGAATAATTTTTGTTGTTTTTTGGAAAATATATCATAATACGCATTCGATTTTAATAATTGCTTTTGTTAGACCACTTTTTGGTTTTCCTTTAATCCCCATTGATTTTATAACAATACAATGCGGATTATGTTTTAATATTTTAATGTAGTTTATGTTAATTTACTCTCATAGTTAAGGATAATAATTGAGAAGATTATATAAGATTGAATACGGTTGTATAGTTTTTAAGCTGCACAAAATCTATAATTTTCAAGAAGATTATTGACTATGTTATATGTTTATTATTTTGATAACGAATTTGTTATGATTAAATATTTTATTTATAGTTTTTGTGACAAAACGAAAATAATTCTAAGAAGAAACCTTTACCCTTCAAATAAAAGCATCGATTGGAATCACTTTTATAAATGTAATTATGTATTCGAAGGCTGTATTTCTTTTTTTAGATTTTATTTTCCGTTGCCGTATAATCAGAAACCATCCTGACTTAAAGTCAATTTCTGTTTTCAACGGATTCCCTCTGGAATCAATAATGCAATACTTAAACTTTAAAATGCATTCGACAAAAGTTTTCAGATTCCATGACTGTTTTTCCACCTCCCAACTCGCCAGTTTGCCAGTTTGACGCCCACTCAACCACCCACTCTAACACCCACTAAACCACCCACTCAGCCGCCCACCCATTTCCCGGAAACCTCTGGCTCACCTGCAGGCTCAGAGTTGGCCAAGTTTTCATGTCACAAGCAATCAAATCAAAGTTTAATTATTATCGTCAACATCATCCGATTTTAAATTCACCGTGGGCAAAATGGCAAGGCTCAATGCCAGATGCAGTTTCAGATGCGAATGTCGATTGTGCTGCAAATACATATATACGGTTGTGGTCGGAATAATAGCATAAAGGCTTAATTTTTTAATTGGCTTAATGTGAATGATGCTGCCCGCTGTCTACCTTTATCTTCGATACAAAACTGCATTTAAAGCAGCGCTCGGAAGCAGACTACAGTTAAAGTTTCTTGCTTCTTATTAAACGAAATAAGTTTCTGATTTACTTCCATTTTCTTTCTTACTTTCGCTAATATCTTCCTTTATTTTTATAGGAGAGATTTAAAAATATTTTAAACTGTATCTTTCCTGAGCTTAACTTGCTTGGCAGAATATACATAATTTAAATTGGCTTTACAATAATTTATTTTATTAGTAAATGTACCTTACATTTATTTTGGCAGATACTTCATTTATAACATAACATTTATTTTTTGTTGTTTTACTTCTTTCTTCCTAATAGTTTATCTTAGAATACATAATTTTCTTTCGTTAACACATTTTAAGGACTTAAATTTAGTTATTTTTGTGACTTGTAAATACATAAATACATAAATTAAGTTATATTTTTGTTTGTTTTTTGTTTTGTGTTTTAACAGTTGAGACTTATTTAATCACAGGGGAGGGCATGCATCATTGTACTATTTTGACCGGCGCTGTACAACAGCACTGACATTTAACCCTGTTTCGGGGCGAATTTACATAATTAGCAATTAAGATGCGGTCGATTGCGATTGATGAGATGCCAGTTGGGTGTCGGCAATAAGCCCAATTAATATTAACGACTAATCCGCCGCCACTTGGCATCCCTTGCAGATGGAACAGCACGAGAACGAGGCGGGCAAGTTTGTCAAGGATGTGGCCCGTCAGGTGCACGACTGCAACAGCGACACGGACGTCATCAGTCCCACGGGCACCAGTAGTTCCGGCGGAGGTGGCGGCGGTGCCGGCGGTGCTGGTGGTGTCGGCGGCGTATCCGGCGGCCAGGGACCCGGGCCCAGCGACGGTGGCTATCACAAGCGGCACCACAAGATGGTCCGCGATGACGACAACAATAGTGCGGCCCACTCCTCGGACAGCAAAAGTCCCAGCCAGCGGTAAGTTCGAACCGAACACCCACACAGAGACCAACAGAATGAACACCCACACCTGCACTGAGCGAAGAAATGCAATCTAAACTTATAAACATAATTTTATATGCTAATTAGGTAATGCTTAGTAATTTTCAAAATAGTACTCTCCTACAAAAATCTACTCTTCTAAAAAATATAAATTATGTCATTTGACTGTGATATAAATACTTTAGAGAATTGTAAATATTTTTTATCAGCAATTTAAAACAATCTAAAACTATGATCATTTTTTTTAAACCTTCTATCTCATATTGACTGTGCTTATGTTGCTAATTATTTTTTAATTGTATCGTAAAGCAATGATTTATCTATGAATATTTTATACGAAACTTGATTTTGACAAAAAAAGTTTTTTATTTGTGAAAAAATCATAAATAAATGTAAAAGATCACCTCAAGGTAAATCTCGTAGGCAAAAGCCAGGATTCAGAGCGCATTTTTTCGCTCAGTGCAAAACACCTCGACACGTGTAAAATAAAAGTTAAGAGCGGAGAAAAAAACGAAAAGGAGCATAACAAAGATGATTTATTCAAATCGTGCCAAGTTGTTAACAAACACATAAACATAATCTGGCTCTGCTTTTCCTGCAGTCCGCAAACACATACTTACACACCTACACACTCATACACACACAACACAGCCATACTTGTGCAGTAACAGTAACTACATATACATAGACACGTGCCGTAAGCGTAATTGATAAATGTGTAGCATACTTTGTTGGGCTTCGCTCGCCTTGACAGCTTTTGTACTCTGTATTTGATCAACCGTAAGCGACATCACATCCGTACTCGCATCCGTATCCGTAAGACAAGGACCAGAAGAACCCACAAGCCCGATTCAATTAAATAAAATTAGCAATTAGCAAGTCTAACCCCCCCTCCCTTTCCCCCTTGCTCTACATACGTCCATGCGAATCCATGCGGTCGGAACTGGATTCTTGCGAAATGCGAAATGTGAATTGAAATGAAATCTGAATGGGAATGTGAATGCGAATGCGAATGGGACATCAAAAGTTTCCAGTTTGGGTTTTGGTTAATCAAATCAGGAGTCTAAAATCCGATTGGTAAAATCCCTGTACAAGGACAGTGCGTTTCGCAGCAGTAGGGCTGAAAGATTGAGCTATAGTTTGCAAGCATATATTTAAAAAACCCCTTGGTTTAATTTTTTTAAGACTTTTGTTTATGTTTTTATTTACTGTTCACATTTGTGATATTAATAGCTTTAGTTTTTTTTAAATAGCTACTATACATCCAGAAAAAAAAACAAAATATTTCCTTTCGTGAAAAGATTATTTTAAAATAAAGAAATATTATTTTAGTCCTATAAGGTACTTGAATTTTTTAATATTTAATTTAACTGCTGTTTCGTCCTATAAATAACAGACTTGGTTTGATAGATTTATTTTCTGAGTGCAATAATGAATTAACAAGAATTTTAAAATAAATTTAAATTTGAAATATTGAAAATTTAAAAGTTTTGAAAGTGTCATAAATCTTAAGCCTGCCTTACTGCTATAAAACGCGCAGTTAAGGGAGACAATTTCTAGTGAATGTTGAGATTGTGGTTTCAACATTTTTTCTTTTGCAGTTGAATGGAGCTGTCACTCAGGCAGACACACTTGCACACACAATCACACACAGGGGCAACTTTTGTTTGTGTTTATTGCGCCTTTGTGGTGGCAAAAGGGAAATTAGCAATGACAATTAGTCGGGATTGCCCATGTCCGTGCTGTGTGTGAGTGTGTGTGTGTGTGTGCGAGTGTGCCAGAGTGTCACAGTGTCCGCCTGTCAGGGTGTGTGTGTGTGTGTGTACATGATTTCATTAATTAACTCGACTCGGGCAAACAAAGGCGGCGAAAAAGGAAGCAGGAGGCGGAGTCGCCCTCCCAGGGGACAGAAGTTGACAACTCTTTGGCCTAATGCGCCCTCGGCGGGCTAATCTTCGGGCACACGAATCCACTCAGCTCCACTCTAGAATGAAACCATGAAACCATGAACCACCACAACCACACTGAGCCACGGCTGCCACTTTCAGAATGCTAATGTGCCAGGGCAAACAATTTAATCAAGAGCGCAACATTAATAAAAAGGAACAAAAATTTACCCCGAAAGAAGATCCTAAGTAATCAAAACATGCTTCCATTTTTTCCTAGTCGTCAAATTTGTACTATGTTATTTGTTTTAATAGAGTTTTTCTGCACTTATCTGTTATATCATTAAATACAATTTTGTGCTATATTTTGTTATGTGCATTCAATAATATGACAAATAGTTAAACTTATTTATACATATAACTATGCTGAAATGTGGTTATGTTTTGTATTGGGTTCTTAATAATTTGTCTTTAAAATTAACGTTAAAGTTATTACAATTTATTTCAAGACATTATATTTTTGTATTTTATTTTATAATGTTCAAAATGGAAATAAAATAATAGAAAACAAGTGGCAGTCAGTGGCTCTTTTCAATCCGATTTTGCATGTTATAATCAGAGTATCCACTTCTCGCATCGCTCGATCGGATCGTGACCACATACATGTATGTAGATCCGGCAGCTCCTCGCTGGCCAGTGCGCAGCTGCACCCATGTGGCTGCTCCACCACTAGTTTAAGGTACACAGAGAGGGATAGACTTATTGTGACGCCGGCACACCCGCATCCGCATCCACAAACGCATCCGCACCAGGCCCGTCAACGGCGCCAGGTGCGCCTACATGTGAACAGTCCGTCCTCCGACCACAGCGTCTGTACGCCGGTGGGTCAAAGGTCGCTGCCGGCCATGAAGACCCTCTCCTCGTTCATCAGCGAGCATCCCGAGGAGCTGGCAGCGGTGGCGGCGGCGGCGCCGGAGGATCTGGATCTGGATCGGAACCAGGACCAGGACCAGGTCCGGAGTGGCACCTCCAATGGCCAGCAGCAGACAACGAAGTGGAAGAGCTTGCGGGCCGTGATGGCCTACTACTGCTCCCTGAGGCGCATCAAGAGGAACGTTGCCAATCTTCCACACCCACCCACAAATCCCGTTTTCAGTGTTTCCGTATTGCGTTCGCGCGTTTTGCTAGCGTTAGTCAACTAATCACTGCACAGAGAAAAAATGTCACCAAAATTGGCCATCCATTTGGTTGCTTTTGCTAGTAATTCAATAATGTTCCTCTTAGAGTGATTTTTCCAATCAAATATAAAAAACTTAAATAGTTTGTTAATTTATTTTAAACATAAAATATACATCTAATAGTTGTAGAGCATTATATAATAGGCTAGATTTGCTTGAATTTATATTGCTTAGCAGTTTAATACAATTTTGACATTATTACTTTTTAGAAGTCCCTAAAATTAGATTAACTTATTATATTTTTGGAACTTTAATTAATGATAAGAAACATTTTAAGCAATCGCTTCAAATAAGCACTTAGCTTTTAAATTGAAATTAATTTTAAAAATCTTTAAAGTTTTCAAAGAAATTTGTAAGCTTTAAAATTATTAAGGTTAGGCTATTTATTTACAATGGAGTAGTAACTCATACTAAAATCATGATTTCAAGAAATTGAGGTGGCCAAATGTAATGTTTTTTCTCTGTGCACCTGTATATGTGTGTGTAAACTCTCTTTGCGTGCGTGTGCGTGTGTGCGAGAGAGAATCCTAGCTCTTGCTAACCTCAGCACCACAACCACCAGCACCGAAAGTGAAGTCCTTGATCAGACCCTCGATAATCGATATGTACTAACCCATCCACTAACGCTCATCGATCGCTCGCCCTCTCTCTCTTTCTCATGCTCTCTCTCTCTCTCTCTCTCTCGCTCGCCTAACAACGTACTAATCCGAAAACGTAGTGTATGAACCTATGTGTAATCTAATATATAACCCATATATCATTGATGTGTAAGCGAATGCCAGACCTCTCTCAACTCTCAACTCTGAACTAAAACTGAACTCAAAAATCGCCTGCTCGCCCGTTCGTCAACTTTATCCCACTGTGTCTATCGACCCCCTTCCAAACCCACCCCACCCACCCCTCACCTTCTCCACAGTTAAGCCTCGTTGAGTTTTCTTGAAAAACTTTCCCAAGACTTTCGACCCCCTCAACCTTAACCCCCGCCCCCCTACGACTTTACTCATTTAACAAGTGTTGGAAAGCGTTTGACGGGAATTTGCATTTATTAGCCATATGCATAAGATATGTATGCTTGTTCCTCTGGGGGGAGGTAACACTGTACTGTACCCCCACAAACGGGGAAAGAGGTGTCTTGGCTGGGTATACATTTTACCACTTTCTGTTCTAGTTTCGGTTCATTTTTGGCAAAGGGCAACTTAAAAAGTTTGCCCCAGCTAAACAAGTTGATGCCAACATACACACGCACACATACTTTAACTAACTCACACTCACACACACCTTCTCAAGCACACACACACACAGACAGACACATATGCTTATAAGTAAGGGTGTAAAAGGAACTTTTGGTTGAAAAATCTCAGCAAACAGCCAAAGTTAAAGTGGCTTTTGTTAGTGTGCGTTTGAATCGATATGTTTAAGCTGCTGACTGCAATGTAGGCGAACTTTTGACACAAATACACTCGCACTCACATACAAACACACACACAGAGAAAGAAAAGCGCTGATACAGTGACGTACGCTGGGGGTTGCATTATCCTTCTCAAAAAACAAAACGTATATCAAGTTTCAGTGAGACTGCATTAAATGAAAAATTCCTATCAAAAATATATAATGGTAAAATATATCTAAATAATGAAAATTTGAATAAATGATTTATGTTTTAATAAAAATAAATAAATAAATATAATAAATAAAAAAAATACTTGAGAAATTTGTATAATATTGATACAACATTTATACATCGCTTTTTTTTGGTGATACTTTTCGTTTAAAGTCGAAAGGTGCACCTACATATATGTATCCAAGGAAATATATATATATTAACATACCTAATAAACCCTTGGGGAGACCCCTTGAAAGAATCCCAGCGTACGCCACTGGCACAGACACATCTCATTGCGCCTATGCATATGGCAATGCTACGAAGTCCGCCCACCACCCACCGCCCGGCTTCTCCTTTGGCATTGTGCATGCAAAATGGGAAATTGCCTTCTGACTGACAACTTACAAAGAATTTGAATTTAGAAAATTGCAAATTTATGTAGAAGCCAAGTGAACACAATACACCCAATGGTAACCTAGAATTTATGCACCCTCTTGGACCGATTGGATGTCAGCATCCACATTTCCTATTTTTGGCCAGCGAAAAGGGATGCATGTGGCAACAGTGAGGCCTCCTACATATATTCCACCTACCCAAAGCAACCATCCCCCTCCCTGCCGAATTCTGCCCCAGTCGTGCGGTTAGGTAATTCCCTTACTAGCAACTCTGATTCTCTGATTTGCAATCAAATTCATTTGTTTGATCCGGCAATTGTGTTTTGATTTGCAAGCACTTGAAATGCGACTCACATCCGGTGGCGTCCGATATTTTCGTCTTTATTGCATTGTCAGCAACTCAAGTTGCTCATTAACTAGGATGACCCAAATAATTGGGGTATTAGTTACGGCTAATAAGCCACATACACGCTCAGTGGGTGTCGCAAAAAATCGCTGCATGGCAATTTACGAGCAGGAGTCTGGTTTAAGTGTCACGGAAATGTTTTTGGGTGGGTTTTAAAATTGTTCTCCCCTACGTGACAAGCGGGTTTTGCTGGTTTTATAGTAAGCTGGATCTGCGAAAATACTTTTCTTTGTGCCAATCGTTCGATGATCCTTTATCAACTTAAGTTAACGTTACCTTTGAAATGGTTGTTAAACATAGATATTTGAGATTTTATATTTATTTTATATTTCTACTATTTTCTTTCTTAAATAAGAATTACATATTTAACGTATTCCATTACAATTTAAAAAAGGAATCCTATGTTATCTAAAGAGACCCTTGTTTTGCGATTTGCTGAAAATCAAAACCACTGAAGGGAAGCTTGACATAATAAATTTGAAATAAGTATCACATTCAGCTAGCTCAGTCCACGGTTTAGCATTTAAAATATGATTCCTTAGGCATTTTTCTGGACACAATTACTTAAAGCGCATCCGTAGATTTCCGTGACATCCTGCCACGTTTCACAATCAGTCTAGCAGAAAGTGTAGCATACTTCGTGGGGTGTGAAATGTCCCCAGGCGGTTATAAATTTATCCCCATTGGCAATGCTGGGGGTTGGGGCTGGGGCTTCGGGGTTTCGGGGCTGGGGCTTCGGGGTGGCGAAGAGCAGAGCAGAGGGGCCGGAGAACGTTGTCCAAATGACTCGGCGGAATTTTTCAATTGTTATTTCATCTGCCATGTGCGGCCAGTCAGTCAAGTGGCGAACCAAGCCATAAGGCCACCAACATCGAAAACCGAAAACCGTAAACCGTAAACCGAAAAACGATAACCAAAAACAGGGAACCGAGATCGGAGCATTGGTCAGAGGCGTTAATTGAAATTCGGCTTAGGAACCGAATCGACGGTTAACCCGAGGCAACCCAAAGCGGACATCATGCAGCCATTAAACAATAACACTTTTAGCCCACCACACATGGGCCAGCAAACAAACAAACAAAGAAACACCCATACACACACAATACACACGCTGGACAAACAGGAGAGTCCTTTAACATTTCGCTGGATGATTTGTGGTGCAATAAAGAATGGCATTTAATACCGGGCCCAGCTCTTTAACCTTTTCGAACCCGATTCGAATGGAATCGAATCGAATCGCATCGAAAAATGTGGAACGAAAAGGGGGAATTGGCAAGCGCCAAAACTAACAAGCTCATTCTCAATTTATATTAAATCGAAAGTCCACAAATGGTTCAGCTGACCCCAAAACAACAATGGGGTCATCCACAGATATACGCACACGTACGCGCATTAATACACAAACATGTATTCAGTGACGTGGGCGGGGGGTTTTGGGCTTATTACTAATTTTTCGTTTGATTAAATATAAGAAATGCTCTGGGAACGTAGCTTGAAAGGTATATTTGTATATTATAAAATGCAGGAGTTTTAAAAATAATTCAGATCAAGATATTAAAATGGTGAACTAAATTATGCGACCTTGTCTTGTTTCTTAAAGATATTAAAACAAATAAAAAAGAGGAATTAAATAAACAATTTCATGAGAACCCCCTTTTAATAAAGTGCAGTGGGTGCCACTGAATATGTGTAATGGTAGTGTATATAGGCTATGGAGCGTGGTAATCTTATCGTGCAGCAAGCCTTTTTCCGCTTGGCTTGGAAACGGAATGGACAGTGATGGGTTAAAGGGAAGGCCCGTATCAACCAGTTGTGAGTGTGTGTGTGCCTCATTCTATCTGTGCGTGTGTGCGTTCGTCTCACTCTCACCATCTTCCCTCCCCCCTCACCTCTCTCTCCCTCTCTTTATATATTATATATACCTCCCCCTCTCTCTGTTGGTCACTTTGCCAATCTATTTCTATCGAAGTCTCTTACTATTTTGCCATCTTGAAAACGAATTACAAAACAAATTAAATCAATCAAAATGAATACAAAACAAAAATATGTTAAACAACAAAATAAACAAAAAAAAAGCACAACAAAACAGAAAAACAAAAGAAAAAAAACAAACAAAAAATGAAATACTTTCGAAACTCGTTTAGGAAATCGCGTATCGGAGATGGAGCTTCAGATCCAGATTCCGATTGGTAAGTTTATTCTCTTGCGTTCCTTATGATTTCTCGGTTTTGTCTCTGCACACTCGCACACACATACACACACATACACCAAAACCCACCCGAAACAGACACAGAAACAGATATTACTGACACACAGACGCATAGCTTTGTTCTGCTTTTGATTTGATTATGTTTGTGATTATGATGATAATGATGATGATGGTCTGTTGCTGTTAATGATGATTATGATGCATAATGACGATGATCGGCATGTACGCGCTTTGCATTTGAATAGGCCACAACACAGCAAGAATTATATATATAAACAATATATACATACATAAATATAGTACATATATAGAGTAGGGTTTTGGCGTTGCAAAGAGCCGAGGTCCAAAACCGCAGCTCCATCACACTCCAGCCACACCCTGTAAAAAGCCACAAAAAGTAGGGGGCATAAACACCTTATACACAACCACCCACACCCACCCACAACCACCCACACACACCTACACCCACTCAAACACCCATACTGACGGCAACCACACCTATAGCTATCATTGTTTTCCTTTGATTTTTCTTTCGTTTAGCTAACTGCATTGCTACCAAATCGCTTTCGTTTTTCGTACCTCATCGTGTACCACACGACGTATGCGTAATAAATTAGCCACCGCTGTAAATAGACCAATGAAATCTAGCTAAATCAAAATAAACAAACCGAAAAAAAAAACAAAAAAAAAAAATGCAAAACCGAAATTAAAACAAAGCAAACTCTAAACCAAAAAAAAAAACAAAAACATTCATTCCGTAGCCTGGCATTTTGATATGCTAAATGCGAATAATAATTGTGCATAAATTAAGCCCAACCAAATAATCAATTAACGCATCAGCAACACCCCCAAATCGAACTGTACATAAGCAATGTATATATATACCTATATAAAAATAGACATCATGCAAATAAACACCTAGTACTAGATGCTATAGCAGAACAGACGATTGAATGGCGACCCTGAGCGGCTTGAGCAAAAGTTTAAAGTGGTAAAACCTGATTCCCCTCCCCGGACTCCCCGACCCCCAAAAATTTCCCATCCACGTAGTCGTACGATAGTCCTAGATCGAGTTCGTATATACTCGTAGTGCGTAGCTATACCCTGGCAAATGTGGGAGTGCTAAAAAAATATTGGCAATAGCAAATTTTAAGTCTGCTTCTGTATTTTGTAAGGTACATAAATAACAATCCTTATTGATTGATGACGGTTAGGTTTATCAAATTCAGCTCTTTAAGCTTTACAAATGATTTCAGGACATTAAATGTGATTAATGTTGGTATTTTTAAAGGGAAATGCAAGCGCAGAAATGTTGCTGGCTGATTTTAGATCACTTCAGAGTGTGCAATGATATATATTATATCTTTTGTCCGTTTAAAATTGTTGCTCATTTTTATACACCTGAAAACAAATTCAAATCACCCAGATCATTTACCATTTACCATTTACCAACACCCACTAACTAGACTGTAAACTAGTGGGATGTTACTAGTTGAATGATTTAAAATATTACGGTATTTTGTTTAAAGATATTGAACTGCTTATTAGGCCAACAATGATTTTTCCCGAGGTAGCGCCTTAGATTTTCCCCATCGATTAAATAAATTATATATTTTAGCACATTTGCGAGAGTACCGTAAGCTTCGGATTGCCGGAGAAATTTTTACTTTTCGTTTGTTTTAATTTCCCCTTAATTGTGAGAAAGTTTTCAGTTTCAACGAAACGAGAAAAGCTCACCTGGCAGACAGTTTAACACTTTTCGCCTGTGGCCAAGAGCTATTTATATCGATGGCAGAAAATTCTTGGCCACTTCCACCCCCCTTCCTTTCTCTTATATCTCTCGCTCTCTCTCTCTCTCTGTCTTTCGCTCTGTCTGTCTCTGTCTCGCTGCGCTGCTCTACTGCTGGTGCTCAAATTGTTTTCCAATTGCAATTTTCCTCATTTTCCTTGTCGATTGCATAACGCCTATGATTGTTATTTGGTTTGATTCCATTTGATTCGATTTGATTCGATTTGAGTTTAGTTGATTTCGTTTGCGACTCGAACACATCTTACGTTTGTAGTTGGTAGTAAATGGCGATATCATAGACTATAAGTATAACTATACATCATATATCTGTATATCTATATATTAATATGCATGCACATGGATCTCATCTATATTTCTCTCTCCCCTCCCCTCTCTCTCTATTTTACGTTGTGCGTTTCCATTTCCGTTTCCGTTTCACCTTAATGTTACCGTTAGCGTTACCGTTACCGTTGCGTGCGTTTGCGTTACGGTCTTTTGGGTTCTCCTTTGAATGTTTGTCTTGCCACCAAGTATGCGTAACCATAGCCGTAATCCGTAATATGTAACCCGTAACCTATAGCCCATAACCCGTAACCCCGTAGCCCGTAAACCGTAACCATAGTTCTCCGTCATCACCAACTAGCGTAAGTGTTTGATGTTTCGTGTTACGTAAGTGATAACGTTCTTTAAAAAGCACCACCGAGTAACGTGAGCGCACGCTTAGTTGAAATGATCTTTTCAGTTGCCCCCCTTGAGAGCCCCCCTCTTTTGAATTCCTTTAAATAGTCAGTAGTTCGTTGTGTGAGACAATCCCTTGCAAGTCCCCCGTCCCAGGACAGCCCCAACTGATTGCTTTCTATTAAAAACAGGACACGATCGAACCAGCGCTGGATGAAGCTGCGCACCACCGTGCAGATCTCGTCGGCGATACAGAAGAAACCACCTCTCAAGCGCGAAGACTCCTTCCTGAAGCGTTTCTCGACTAGACAGATACCCGAAACACAGGTAAGTGGTTTATCCGAGAGGTTCCCTAGGTGTCTCTGGAGACTTTAAGGAAACGAAGAACGGGGGAATATATATCATGGCGTAGTTTCATTTAAGAAAATATAAAATTCTCTGCATTTTTAAAGATTTCAAAAAGGAAACTAAAAAAACTATTTAAATTTTACCTTTAACAATAATTTATACAGAATACTAGATTTTTTGCTTTGAGGCAATTTTAGTCTTCGAAAAAATATTTAAATACTTTAAAACAACTAATCTATTCCCTAAAACAGATGCAAAAGATGTATTTATTAATGGACCTTAAGTCAATATATTCTTTAAAAACGATGAATAAAGTATAAAAGCTTTGACAATATAATTGACTTTAAAACTAAATTCATATTGAAATGTTGTATATTGGAATTAGTCAAAATACTAGTCTAAATATTGTCTGAACATCTCCTGATAAATATGAGATTATTGAATACCATTTTAATGGTTATAATTTTAGGAAACTGTTGAAGATACGGGTTCAGAAAGTGCCTCTGGTGACGTCGACAAGAGTGTTAAACGACGGCGACGCTATCTGCAGAAACGACGATCCGTTGTTAATCCAGATGAAAATTTTTACTTCTATTGGTTAATGATGTTAACTGTATGTGTTCTATATAATCTATGGACCCTAATTGTGAGGCAGAGCTTTCCTGAACTGCAGGTAAGTTTTGCGCTGCGTTTTCTTTATCAGTTTATCAGTACCCTGTTTTTTCATTCAACCATTCAGTATTTATTGTTTACCACTTGCCCATTTTGCCCAGTTGCCCTTCAAAGGCGAAGGTAGATCCTTTGTTCGTCCTTTATGTGGGGCAACACCCTTTTGTCATTACACTCAAAGAGTGGGTTGTAATGGAAGTTTGCTCCCAGTCCCTGGCCAGTTCCATCGTTATGACCTTTTTTTTAACTAACTGGGCACGTTGGCTGGCATAACTGGCATGGCACTCTTTTTGTTTTGGGGCTCAAAAAAAAAAAAGAGAAAAAAAGGGGAAAATGGGGAAAGAGCATCCACGGGTCACCTGTCGCAAGTACCGAAAATTATCCGTTTTTTATCTGTTTGCTGCCGTTCTTTGCCTTGTAATGACTCAATTATAAGACACGCAGCCAGGCCTGGGCAAATGTTTGTTTATGGCCCCGTTAGCTGGTGTTTGTCATCAGATTAGAGCTGGCTATGGTCGGGCAAACAAAAGTCGACTGTGTTGACCTTTAACCCGGCCACAAAAGCCTGTAGTTGAGGCCGCCATTCCCCTTTTGTTTCACCCCGCACATTTGCACTTGTCAACTGCATTCCCCATTTAATTGTCCTTGACCTGGTCGTAAAAATAGGCGCACAAGCAGCCTCCTTTTTCACTTAATGTGACTTTTGGTCTTACACCGAAAGTAAAGGCAGTAAATAATGGTTAGCCAAGTTGATTAGGTTGAGTAAATTTAATCTTTGTAAAGGGGTAACATGAAAATCACCAACATCGCAGAATAAATCTTAAAAAAACCCTAGTGGTTTCTGTGACCCATCTAAATCATACATTTTTGTTGTCTATTTCATTATGTACGTAAATTTGTTATTATTATTTCGATAAAATGTTATATTTTAATTATTACTTTATTTTCTCTTTGTGTATCTTGTGGCCTATTTTCGAACAGCAATCTGTGCCCACGTTTTGGCTCATCTGCGATTCGATGACAGATGTTGTATTTATCTTAGATATAATAGTTCAATTACGCACAGGCTATCTGGAGCAGGGACTAATGGTGAGTACTGAGTACTGTCGGACTACCAGAACAACATGTTTATTTTGAATCCCTGTAGGTATACGATGACAGGAAGCTGGCCTGCCACTATGTTCACTCGCGCGACTTCATCTTCGACATGATTGCGCTGATACCATTGGATCTGCTGCAGCTGAAGATGGGCACACATCCGCTCTTGCGTTTTACGCGCTTTTTTAAAGTCAGTTATTTGCTGGAGCCTAACAATATGGGTGTTAATTTGCTGGCCATTTTTATTGCAGGTTTATCGATCTGTGAGATTTTATTACATCGTAGAGAGTAGAACAGTTTGGCCAAATTTATGGCGCGTTGTTAACCTAATTCATATCCTGTTAATACTGGCACACTGGTTCGGTTGTTTCTATTTTTTACTTTCCGAGGCGGAGGGTTTTCAGGTAGGTCCTAGTCGAACACAAAACTTAAAAACTTAAGGATACATTTTTAAATTATTTAAGCTATACAAATAAATTATACTAATTATTTCATATAAGCAAAAATAACCATTGAAGTTATTCTTATTCAATGTTATACAACCTTTTAAAAGTATTTATTGAATATACATATATGAAAATGTATTTATTTTTTACAACAATTTAAAAAAATATTATTAAAGATTTATATTTAACAATTGTTGCTGATACACATATTTAAGAGTAATATTCTTATTGTTCTTTTATTTGCACTTATACCAACAAATAACACGAAAATTAATGTTTTTAAATTTGCAAAAGACATAAGCCATTATTTGTTGTATTATATTATATAGTTATGTAGTATTGTATCTTAAAGTATTGCACATAGTTAATTTTTTTTCACTACTTAAGTAGAATAAACTATAATTTTAATATTAATGAACGTAGTTCATGGATTTGTGAAAAACAGAACCACTTCCATATTTTCCAAGATGTTTCCTTTATATATCCCCTTTTGATCCATAGGGCGATTGGGTCTATCCGTACCGACCCGGGGACTATGCCACCCTGACGCGAAAGTATCTGGGCAGCCTGTACTGGTCGACCCTGACACTGACGACCATTGGGGACCTGCCCACGCCCGAGACGAATGCAGAGTGAGTACGCATGGAAATGTGTAAACATAGTACACAAATGGGGGCTACTGAAATCAAGGGGTTTTTAAATCACTTGTAAAGGTGTCTAAAAGTATGCAACAATATGTTTTAAGTCCTGAAGACCAATGTAATGTTTTACAAAGGACGAATTTACGTATATTACTGCATACTTTTAGGCACTTTTCGGGAAATTTTTGACGAAGGGAGTTCGGAAGCCAGTGATTTCTGTTCCAACCCCATTTGTTAACGTGGGGGTCCTGTTTTTAATTACCACATTTACCAATCAGACCGAACTTTTCGGTGGACGGCCCTCGATCAATACCGAGGCGTGGCATAAAATCGCGTCTGCTTCAATTCGGCTCCAGCTATGGGTACGGTTTTTACTTACATCCTAACATGTCTTCGATATCTAGGCAAGGTCAATCAAAACCAGCGAATATCATGCAACTTGTTTGGGGGCTGTCCACCGATTCGTCTGCCTTGGTGTTCTTGTTTTCTAGTTTTGTAATCTATATGTTGCATACTGCCAACCACAAAAGACCGTTTGGCATCAAAGTTTTCGAAAGCGTGCGACAGCCTTAAACAGTTCCATTGATATTTGTTTGTTAACCAAAAGAAAATTGCATAGGATTTACATAAAAATTTGTAACTCACCTTGAGCTTTCGAAAACTTTGATTGAGCTTGCAAGAAGTGTTTTGGGGAGAGAAAAAGAGTTGGTTGAAAAGGTTCTTTTCCGAAAAGCAAACTTTGTAAAATCTGGTTTTTAAAAAATGTGTTTTAAAAATGTAGGTAATAAAAAAACTTTATAAGCAAAAATACTTATAATTAAAAATAATCCCAAAAGCATTTGCATTTTGGCACTTGCACTGTCTATATTTCTGTTTTTAATCTCGTTCTTTGCTTATCAGATGTTCAGAATTAAAAAGTGATTTTTTAGAATCATTTTATCTAAATTGTTCAATAAAATTTTGACCAAATGAAATTAACAAGTATATGACTTTTCTTTTAGTTGTATTATTACAAATTTGTTATAGAGCATAGCCTTTAGGTCTAGAAATGATAAACATTTTGAAAATGGGTCTGAAAGTAATTTCACAAAATGGCCTCTAATTGAAATTGACATCGTCGAACCACCCTCTTTCTCTCCGCCATTTGGCTTGATTTGGTGCCCTGCTAATTGATTGCCACTCCTCCATTCCTACACTCTGCCACGCAGATATATTTTTACGATCGTCAGCTATTTGATTGGCGTTTTTATCTTCGCCACCATTGTGGGCCAAGTGGGCAATGTGATAACGAACCGAAATGCGAATCGCCTCGAGTTCGAGCGCCTGCTGGACGGGGCCAAGACGTATATGCGGCACCACAAGGTAAGTACTACAGTGTGTACAGTGTGTCAGTCCATGGAATAACCTGCCAAATGCCTTAAAAAAAATTTAGGTGCCCGGAGGAATGAAGCGTCGCGTGCTGCGTTGGTACGACTACAGCTGGTCTCGCGGAAGGATTCAGGGTGGCGGTGACATCAATACCGCACTGGGCCTGCTGCCCGACAAGCTGAAAACCGAACTGGCCTTACACGTCAACCTCAGCGTGCTGAAGAAGGTGACCATTTTCCAAGAGTGCCAGCCCGAGTTTCTGCACGATCTCGTGCTCAAAATGAAGGCCTACATCTTCACCCCAGGCGACTCCATCTGTCGCAAGGGCGAGGTGGCCCGCGAGATGTTCATCATTGCCGATGGCATCCTGGAGGTCCTTAGCGAGACGGGCAAGGTCCTCACGACCATGAAGGCCGGCGACTTCTTTGGCGAGATCGGCATCCTAAATCTGGATGGGCTAAACAAGTGAGTGCACGCTTGCAAATGTGCGAATTTCACTTTGCTCATATTAGATAAATATTTTTTGTTTGTATTTTGAGTTTATCACTCTTACATACTTTTGCCTATAATCACAAATTGTATACGTGTCGTATGAGTAACAGTTACTGAAATAGTTACTCATTAAGTTCTTCGTGAGTCCAAATAATTAACTTATTTTCCTTCTTACAGACGTACGGCGGATGTGCGGTCCGTGGGCTATTCGGAGCTGTTCTCGTTGTCCCGCGAGGATGTCCTGGCCGCCATGAAGGACTACCCGGACGCCCAGGAGATCCTGCAGACCCTCGGCCGCAAGCGCCTCATGGAGGTGCGCTGCGTGAACAAAAAGTACGCGAAGGCGCAGAGCGACAAGGAGGCGGCGGCCTATGCGGCGGCCCATCCGCACCACCACCAGGGTCACCAGGGCCATCAGGGTCACCACCAGGGCCAGGTGCACCAGAGCGACAGCAGCGAGAACAGTGCCTCCAAGAAGATCGTGGACAAGCTGAAGCACGACGTCAAGGGCTTCCGGAATGTCCTTAAAAAGTCCAGGTGGGGTTTTTTTTGCAAAAATTCATGGACTAGCTCCTAAGATCAGGACCTTAACTAATTTCAGTTTTGATGAGCGTAGAAGGTTTTAATTTGAGTGGCAAACTATTTCAGCAAGATTTTGACAGCTTTTAAAAAACATACAAATTTATACAAATTTAAAAACTTTTTGTAAACTATTTTTACATGAATTTTAAGTTATTGGGTATGAACAAATTTCTCAACAAGATGAGTATTAAATTAAAACCACGAAACTGTCAAAATAAAACTTGTGTGGTTTACAAATAAGGCCATAGATTACATTTTCAGACTCTTCAGTATAGAAATAAAAATAATATATTATTAAGTATGGAATTAATACTTAATAATTATTAACTTTAAATGGCAGGGGACAAAACTTTGATTTTAAATTCTTGTGTTTTCTTTTGCCGGCAGGACCTCGCGTAAAAGCGACGAGTCCCTGGAGATGCAGCCGCTGCACAACACCTCGCCCCGCGGCAGCAAGATCCTGCTGAAGCGCATGTCGCGGGTGAGATCGGACGAGAAGGACGCGGATAGCGCCGAGGCCAAGGACGAGTTGCACGACAAGACGCCCAGCCCCATTGGGGCGGGGCTGCCGCTGCTGCAGCGCCTGCGGCTGCTCAAGGAGAAGCAGGTGAGTGGGCCAGGACAGGTCAGGCCATAGCAGGCCAAGTGGGAAGCCCGAAGGTCCAGATTCTCCAGAGTCTCCATCACCCATCACCCATCACTCGCGGCAGAAGCCGCACAGTCACAACCGCAATTACAGCCACCGAGTCACACAGCCCTTTTGTTTTTCTTTTCCACTTAACTTTCACGTACCCTCCACGTACCTTTCACCCACCCAACACCCAACACCCACAGTCCACAACCCACCACCCACTCACCTTTGCTCGACTTTCGTTTTCACACCATCGGGAGCCAAAACCCACTTTCCACCCACAAGGCATTAAATGCTTTTTCACCACAAGCAAACAAACAGAGCATTGAATGAACAGCTTGACAAATGCAAAAACAAACCCAAACGCCCACGAACACACAACCAAACAAACAAGCAAATAAACAAACAAACAAACACTTAGATAAACAAACAAGGAGACAAATGGAAAACAGTCTGAAGCCTGGTGTATCTGCGATACTGATTAAAGTCACACACCACACACCCACACACCCACCCACTGCATATGTGTACATTGTTTCGACTCCATTGTAATGCAGTTTGTACAAGTTGTTAGTGCACCTTCAGATCCACCTAAGATAAATGTGCTAGTTTCAAAGATCTTCATCATTGCAATCAAGCACGTTATGCAATAAAAGCTTTAGCTGCCAATCAAACAGCTCTCTCTCATTCTCTCTCTGTTTATATTCCTCTTGAGAAGAGACAACTGTGGCTAAATATGTATATTACTTTATTATATTTGCTCCTTAAAGATGATACCTAAATCTATTCCAAATTAAGTACTTATAGAGAATACAATACTTGAAATATGAAGCTGGCAAATTGAGCGACAGGCACTATGAAGTATTGGATCAATTTACGCATTTTGTTTTAAATTTTAAAAGAAGTCAATCCATAGTCAGCTTTAAGATTAAATATTGTAACTTAATCGATTTATATTTTTAGGGACATATATAGGTATTGTGGAAAGGCTAATAATCATTTTTTGTCGGCTATTAACTTGAGCTTAACTAGATGCTTTCAATAGTTCCCTGCTTCCGCTTAGTAAACAAGAAATGTTCCTCCCTTTAAATTTACAAATGACACATATATATATTTGTATATATATATATATTATATATATACATATACATATATAAAGACAAAGAGCTGGATTCTCTGAGATACGAAAATCGGCAGAGAGGGTACAGAAATTCCGAATACAGAGGACACTATCGCTGACATTGCCCACTTGTATCATGATTTATTTTGCATTTATCGTTTTAATTTTGGCTTAGCATCCGAAATGATTAACGCCCGATCCAGAAGTTCGTGTTGTATGTAATTATCCCCAGCTCCTAAACAGTAGTTTTGTATGTGTCTTTATGTGTCTTGCACTAGGATCGCGAAGAGCGAGCTGTTAAGTCCACACCACCACAGAAATCTCCACCTCACTCACATGTAACGTGTACGTTATCGCCGCAGGAATCGATCCAGGAGGAGCCCGAACGCGAGTTCAGCGAAGGCTTTCCCCTGATCCAGCGACTGCAGCAGTTGAAAATTAAGAACGAGCCGCAGGCCAACGCCGCCGAACCCGGCGTCGTCATGGTAAAGCAAAAAAAACAAAAAAAAACAAAAAAAAAAAAAAATTAATTAACCAGATATATGTAGACATCAAAACACAGAAATCATCTCTTTGTAATTTGGGTGACAGATTTAAGCCTTTAATAGAGATTTCTGACTTTAACCCCATATCAAAAGTAAAATTAACCTGAACTATTTAGAAACCGAAACACAGAAATCAAGATAAACTCCTATTTATCATGTTCTGCCTAACTTGAGTGTGAATTTTAAGCTTTGGAAAGGATTTTCCTACTCAAAGTTTAAAAAACGTTTAGTTAACCGGAACTTAAAAATTCGAAACCTATTGTTAATTTAGCAGGGTAAACTAGAACAACTAGTGGAATAGTAAATACTGTAAATATTTAAATGGTGAGTTAGTTACACATAAATTAGTTGGGTACTAAAATCACTCATAAAGATGTCTTAAATTATTTATATAATAGAAAAGAGGATATTATTTTTACAGCATACATTTGAACATCTTAATAAGCGATTTAAAAACCCTATTAATTTCTGTAGTACCCATCTTAGGTGTAGGACCCACAATATGCGTTAATATAAGTCTACAAAATATCGCTGTATGTTTTCCTGTGCCATCAATCTGACTTAACAGTGTTAGAAGATATTCCTGACGGCTGATTTCTCATTCTCCGGTTAACATAAATGTGTCGGTTAGACTACAGAGCTATTAGGTTAACCGGAGAAGTAAGCTAACATTTGGCTTAACAGGAGTATGAGAAGAAGACGCATCATTCAATGGTCTTTGACGTTCTATTAACACACCCAATCCTCTTCTTTTTTCTAAACTTCTAAACTTGCACCTAACACGATGCTGATCCAATCCGATCCGATACTATCCGATCATCCAGGTCAACACGCCGCCCAATATCAGCAGCAAGATAGACTCGCATTTCGGGGCCGCCCAGGCAGGAGGATCCATAGCGATGCCAGGGCCCAATGGTGGCCTCTCGGCGCCGGGACAATCGCTGACGGTGGCCCAGATCAAGCCCATCATGAAGGTTTCGTTCAAGCAGAAGATCCAACAGTTGCAGGGAGGAGTGAGCAGCTCGCCGTCGCCGAGTACGGGAGCCATAGCCAAAAAGGAGCCACCCAAGTCCCTGGCCCTGGTGGCCAAGCATGGAGCAGCCTCCGATGATGCAGTGGCCACAACCGGACTGGGATTGGGATTGGGACTGGGAGTCGGAATGGGAATGGGAGTGGGAATGGGAATGGGAATGGGAGCTGGCGGCTCTGGCATAGCCACCATATCGAAGAGGGTGGTCAAGCCCAGCCAGCGGATGGCCACGCCACTGCAATCCGATACGGACACCGACGGGACGCCCATCAAGCCGTGGTCCAAGCTGAAACTGGCCACCCTGATGTCTTCCAGCTACACCAGCCTGACCAACTGTTCGCCCGACGACCTGGCCTCGCCGCTGAAGAACTACTCGCTGAGCAACATACCGCAGCAGATGGAGTCGACGCACCCACGACCACGTCACCACAGTGCCCGGAGCAGTGCGAGATCACCGCGTCACGGTCATGGCCATGGGCATGGACATGGACACCATCACGACGGACATGGGCCCGGATCAGGGCAGAGCTGCTCGAGCACCATCTGCTCGTCGACCAGCCAGGCGAATCAGATGGCCAGCACGACGGCCAGCGCCAAGAGGGACTGCCTGCGGCTGCAGAAGCCGGAGCAGCACCTGCCCGACGGCGAACTCACGGAGCTGGGCGGCAACGGGCGGCGGAAGTTGTACCAGAGCGTATTCGATCTGTCGCCGGAATACTGCGGCCTGCCGTTCGTCAAGCGTCTGAAGATCCTCAACGAGCGCCAGAAGCTGGCCGAACTGGAGCGGGCCCTCCAGACGCGAAGTTTCAGCCTGGACTGCTCCAAATCGGGACCGGACAGCAAGGTGCCCATCACGGAGTCACTGTATCGCTGCTACAGCGACACCTCCGGCATCTATTCGCAGTTCCTCAGCACGTACGAGTCAACCACCAGCTCTACTTCGATATCCACCAACACATCTGCATCTGCATCGGCATCCGCATCCGCTTCGGCATCCGCATCGGCATCCGCATCCGCATCGGATAGCAACTCCAGGCAATTGCAGTATGTGCCACTGCCACTCAGTCCCGAATCCAATGAGACTGTGGAACGGCGCAAGCTGAAGAGTATACTCAAGAAGCTGCAGCAGCAGGAGGAGATGGTGGTGGTGTCGGCGCCGGGGTCGAAGGTCACCCCAAAGGGGCTGGGCCAGGGCCTGGCGGCGGAGCCCACCTTGGAAGGGTACGTGGCTAGGCACAGTAAGCTCTTGAAGAGTGTAACCTTCCATTCCACTCTTTCCAGCCCGCCCGCCAGTGCCAAGGAGGAATGTCCTTCTCCCTTCGGCGGCGCTGCGGCGATCGGAATGATATCGTTGAATAATAATAATGGTGGCGGTACGGGTACGGTTACGGTTACGGGTAATGCTAACGGTAATGCTAACGGTAATGCTAACGGTAACAGTAACGGTAATGATCCAGTTAATAAAACTAGTTCGAGTTCGCGTGTAACGAGCAACAAGAGTAGTGCGTATGCGAGTTCACCATCGGTATCGGTGGCATTTCCGTTTCCGGTTGCGCCGGGGCCACACGCACACACACACCCACTTCCGCAACCGCATTCGCATCCGCTTCCGCTGGCAACCGAAGCGAATGTCTGGTCGCCGACGTTGACGTTGGTAACGCCCACGAATTCGCCGCAGGAGAGCTACGCGTTTCCCGCTCAACTAAGGGATCCGGGCGATTTGGAAGTGGGCGGACTCGTTGGTGGCGTTGGCACCGTCTCAGCGTCGTCGTCTTTGCCAGTCGGATCAGTTGGAACAGTTGGAACAGTTGGATCAGCTGCATCCGCATCCGCATTAGCATCCGCATCCGCCTCGTATGTCGTGGAGTGCTCCTCGTCGTCGAATCAAATCCTCCATGCCCAGTCAACCACTGATTTGAATTTGAATTTGCAGCTCAGGCAGAACACGACCACCAGTGCGATGGGCGGACCGGGCTCAGGGCCCCGGCTCGAAGGTAAATATATCAGCTTCAGATCGAGCTTACAACCCAAATATATATATATATAGCAACCAGAACAAGAGCAACGCTTGTCACCTTCCCCAGAAACACTGTATGTAATCTATATATTTCTCTATCTCTGAGCAACTTTCTTCAAACTCAAAACACTTGCGCATGTGTGCGAGCCACCCACTTGAACTCACACAATAAGAACTTTCTTTTTCGCTTTGCCCTGCTTTCTTCAAACTCTCCTTCAACCTATTTGTCTAACCGCTTTGATCAAAACCTAAGGAAACTCTTTGCATGACACAAATCGCTAAACATAAACTGTAAGAATCTCCCCAAAAACACCTAAACTTTGAAATTAATTAACCTAAATTAACGTATAACAAAACCCATTTAACGTAAATTATATTACTTAAAACCTTTTATATATATATCTATAGTTATTAAACTTATTTTATCTCATGAGTCTATTCTTTTTCTCGATCTGGAACCTTATTACGTTCAAATAATTTCAAATTCAAATAATTGACCATGTCAAAAAGCGTTTTGTTTAACTCTGCCTTAAAAATATAGTCTCATTATACTTTTTCACTTTTTAAATTAATGTTAATATAATCGTTTTAATCCTGCAAAACATTCTTAAACTCTTCTGCAAAGACTTTCTTTGAGACACAAACATTAACTTTGAGAACTTTTAAGTTTCAACTTTTAAAATATTGATTTTTGTAATGCTAATGTGTCTGTGGAAGTGGCCATGAAAATGTCCCTCTCAAGGTTGTACCTAAAATGCAAGTAGAACCCTCAAGTCCACCAGAGTAAATAATAATAATGATTGTTAAAAACACGGAATGTGCCTAGATCGGAGAAGCTTTTCAGCTGATGTGCCTTGGATTCAGAATGGAATAAAAACGACCGCCATGATGGATGCTTAAGTCTTTGAGAGCATGTAACTCAGCCAGCACAGAACACACAGCCACACTTTGCCAATGCTTTTGTACATAAATATCGAACGTAATTAAGCCACAAAGAACACGATCGCTTATGTATATACTATATAGAGATCTGAGCTTTGAAGGAGCCGATGTGCAACACTTGTATGGTAATGGGAATGAGAATGTAAATAATTGTCACCGATATGCGTATGTATTGATGCCAATGCAGATGGAATTACATAATTATTTGCTGATCAGTCTGTCCGAACAAAAAAATAAACAACAAAAAACCCCTTGCCCTGCAAACTATACATCTGCATTGGTATTCAGAGCTTCGGCCCTCGAACTCAAACTGTATTTCTTTGATAAAAACCGATTCGGAGTGCGATCACCCACGTATGTAGTGCCAAAAAACGCTTTAACACCCACAGCCTAATTTGATGTAGTTAAACTCTGGACAAATCCTATTGAATGTCATGACTCACCTTTGCCCTCGCCCTCGCCCTCGACACAAAGTACCCCTATATGTATCTCTGTCCCTTTTGGTCCACCCTTAAATGTTCCACGTACTCACAACGATGTGTGATCTTGCACTTAAAGGCTTCCCGGAGGCACAGGACTACTTCAATCAGATCCTCAGCGGCATCAACCACGTGATCAAGACGCACATGAACGAGATGCACTCCAAGTTCGAGACGCAGTTCTCCAGCATGGCGGGCGAGGTGAGGCGCCGCGATGCCATCATTGCCCAGCTGCAGCTCAAGCTGCGCTCCATCGAGGGCAAGGCCACCACGGCTCCGGTGGCTTCCGCATCGGCATCCTCCACTGCCGGCGCCCTAGTGCTGCCACTCAGCCGGCGCCAGAACCGCGAGAAGATGTCCCAGCTGTCGGTGGACGATGATGAGCCACCCGAGGAGGAGGACAACAGCAGTTCGGGATCGTCGGCGGAGCTTCTGTTCATGGTGGGTTCTTGTTAATCGAAAAGAAAACTCCGATATTATATATCGAACAAAATTTCACATCGAAAAAATCGAATTGTTCATATATCAAAAGTTATAAAATCGAATACTTTCAAAATTGTGTTTTATTTTAAATTTTTAAAAAGAAAAGAAGTAGAATATTTTGATATGCCTATTATAAAAATCGACTTATAACATTTATAAAATAGTTATTATAAAAAAACATATTTAGGCATCGATATTTTATGCCGAAATACTAGAGATGTATACTTATCCTATACATATATAAGATTCCATATCACATCGAAAAAACCGAATCGTTGCAAGTATCTTAAGTTGTAATTTGTCTTTTATATTAACCACAAAAATAATTCTATTTCAAAAATAACAGCAATTAAATTGTTTTATATAAAGCAAATATGTATGCAATATTTAATAAATATATACTCAACTCGTTAATTATCGATGGTGAAGTTTGAAGTGTTTTCTGACACTTTATATTGTATATTTATAAATTTGAACATTCGTTTAATCCTGCCCCCTCACTTGTTGCAGCGCGGTGATTCCCTGGACACGGTGTTCACCTCATCGCCGCCCATCCAGGGCGGCAGGCGCAGCATATCGCCGGGTCCGAGTCGGCACCATGCGGCCTCGGCGAACGCCCTCAACTGCCCCAGCAGCTACTACGGAGGACCCGGAGGCTCCCTCTCCCTGAGCTCCCGGCACGCCCAGAGCCATCCCAGTTTCTACTCCGGCCAGGGCAACGGACGCAGTGGCCGCAGTGGCCAGAGTGGCCAGAGTGGACGCAGCAGTGGCTACGGCTACCATCGCGAGTGGAGCGGCGGGGCGGACAGCATGGGTAACCTAGGCATGGTGGCCGATGTCACGGGCAATCTGGCCCGCCTCTCGGACAGCGTCATCCTGGACATTGGCGAGAGCTCCAGTTCGAGCTCTTCCTCCAGCAAGATCAATATGGCCGATGTGGATGACGACGACGACGACGAGGTGGAGGAGGAGGGGGGTCCGGCGGCACGGCATCCCCGAGAGGATGAGGATCAGGATGAGGGCGGTGGTGGTGGCGGAACGGCAAGCCACAACGACTGGGAGGTGCAGATGCTGGCCGCCGAAATGGAGCGGCAGGAGCGGCGCAAGCGGGGTCACTCCCTGTCCGACAATCTGGGCGAGCTGAAGCACTGCAGCACGTTCCTGCGACGGCGCCGGAAATTCAGCGACACGGAAACGGAGTTCAGTGAGACGGACATGGAGCACGAGCAGCAGCTGCAGGGCAGCTCCATAGATCCGGCTGCATTGGGTGCCTCCGGCTCGGGAGGAGGCTCCACCTCGGCGGGACACCAGAGCGGCAGCCAGCGGCCGCGGGCCTCCAGCTTGGACCAGTTCAACCTGCGCTACGGCATCGGACGCGGCATCTTTAAAGCAATGAGCATCGACCGTGATAAAGACAAGCTTTGAGAACTATAATCACGACCAAATCCAACCCGATCCCGATCCCGATCACGATCCCCAAGCAAACCAGAAGCAAGTTCAACCGCAGTCAACCAATAAGCAATGGAATTCGGACAGGATTACCATGGTACAAGAACTAGGTATATATATATATATATATGATATACAAAACTAAGGAAATGTGTGAGGACATATAGATCTATATTCTATATATGTTTAGCCCTAACGAACCCCCCAAGCAAACAAAATCGTTATATACAGATATACATATATAAGTTAAAACCCGAATGAGATATATATATATACATATATATATATATATAACAAGTGTAGAATTAACTGAAACAACTACTACAACTAAAACCGAGAAACAACACAGAAATAGCCAGAGAGTGTTCCCACCCCTGTTCCAATTACAATTCATTTAGCTTTCTTAAATCGCATCTTTGTTGTTTTCCCTTGCAAATATAAGTACATTTTAGCCTGAGGTTATCTTTGTCCGCTTTAGAAAGTGTCTACGATAAACCTATAAGGCTGAATGAAATTTATCACTGATTATAAAATGTTTTACTGTTTAAAATTCTTTTTAAATGTTTAGGTATCATTTATTATATCCTATTAATTTGTAATCACTCATTCATCTGTCCGTTAGCTTTCCGCTTAATAGAATTTTTGCTTATAACTTCTAGAATCTATTTACCATAACATGAAGCTATTTTTAAAAGTATTATTTTACCTAAAGTTGAAAAACCTTATTTGATTAATCTATTTGTAGTGATTAATAACCAATTATAGTTTGCAAGTGGACTCAAAGACTCGGTCTACCGATTATAAATATTCGTTCATATTTTTTTTTTTTCGAAATTGCCAAAAATTTGCAAAACGGTGTGTATGTGTGGGTGTGACCCTGTGAGAGAGTGTATGTGTGCGAGCAAGAAAGCACGAGAGATGATAATTCCCACATTAAACCGTCCTGAAAAACGTCCATGCCACGATGCGCATGTTTATTCATTTTATATGTATCTGTATCTGTATCTCTGTATCTGCTACCAAATCTGCATTTGTATCTGCATCCTAGTCATCTCGATCTGAACCTAAGTCGCCATAGTTAGGTGTATTGCTCAGTTGCTCGTTTAATTCGCGGACGGCGGGGGCGTGGGTCTCTCTACAGATGTACATATATACCTCCTATTGTTAGAGACTATGAAACATATATACATATATATTTTAAGTACGTACATATATACACAGAAATATACATAGTTATACATATATCTATATATGAACTAGTGTAATGAAAACCGAAAGCTTTAATAACTTATATAGAGAACTATTTAAGAAACGTTTTAAATACTTATCGATTCGGACAAATGTTTTGAAATAGAACAGGCCAACACCCATTCCCAGAAAAAAAAACAACAAACAAACAAGTAAACACAGATTACACAAAAAACACACATTAAGCATACACCTGCATACGAATATCTAAATGTAGAGCCTATAATATGCATAGATTAGCGATTTACTTGTTGAACACCCTCGGCTCGAGCTGTTAGGCCTATCTAAGCGTTAGTCGAACCTATCGAAAAACTTAGACTAGCCACCCGCTCGATTCCCCACGCCCATGCATTCGTTCGGTTTCGTTCACCTAATCTCACGCTTGCCCTTTGACCTCAAGCCCCACTAACTAGAGACACTATCTCGCTTTAAGAAAGGCAACTCTAGCTCTTAAGTAGCTTAGTACAGTTCAAGATCAATTTCGAATCCAGATCGAGTCCGTCGCGCACCGCCCACAAAAAAGAAAATGTATCTGATGACCAGGCGGGTAACACGTTTGTTGATTGTTGTTGATTGTCGTTGATTGTTTTGCTTTGATTTCTCGTTGCTCTGAACTAATTGCTTCACTAAGAACAGTCCTAGACGCACTCACTAATCAGCCGGTAGAGTCCATAGAAAAAAGTTAGACACCCAACTCTAGAGTTTTGTAGTTTCAACTAGCCGCTAAAAGGATGTTAAGCTGTACTCAAGACACTTACTATCGCTCTGGCTATCTTGGCTATCGATAACTATCGTACTGTACTTAGCGCACTAAGGCACACTCACACACACACAGCTACACAAACACACAAAAACGTACAAAACCTTATTGAAGAAAGCCGAGGAAGTCAGCCTCACAGATACTTTATCTACTCAAATATGTAACTTTTACACAGATAGGGAAACACTAAAATTTGAGGTGAGTTTAAGCAGTAATCTGTCTTTCTCGATGGTTTTGCACAAAAACATCGATAATTACCGATTATTAGTTAGCATCATGACTGTTTGAAAAGAAACACGATTATTTATTAGGGTTTCACATAAACTTGTATTGTTGTTATATTTTTTGTATTTCCAAAATTCGACTTTTAGTACGAAATACGTCTTATTTGACTACTTTCAAAATACTTATATAGATTTAATATTTTCTTTAACAATAAATTTAAATCGAAATATAGTTCAAAAAGTTGTGAAACCTTAACGAATCATCGACTTTCCCTTTAAAGCATGATTTCTCCACCACTAGTCCACGTGCACAGCTAGAAACAAAACCTGAAATTCAAGGAACAAATTCTCAAATGGGTTCAATATAACAAAAAACCTTAGCTACAAAAAGTACACAAATATGCAACAACTTAAATGGGTCACAGCCAGCTAAGCAGTCCAACTAATTGTAATAAGACAAACGACAAGCACAACACTTATGTAATTCAAAACACAGCCAGAAAAAGATGGAGCTGAAGAAATAACTCTATAAGAATTTGATTTACTCGTTTACCGGGTTCCTTTGTTGAAGGCCAAGTTTGAACGCCAAGGAAAACCATTTAAATTGAATTACATACGCCAGGGACCACAAAATGTTTTTTTGTCTCTTTTTTATAAAACGTGTAGACACAAAAGGAAAACCTAGCAAATCTAATGATAATAATGCCATAACATGCAAGTGTTATTGACCAGAAGGTAGCCGTCATATAATCAACGATAAACCTTTAGCCAGACACCCATTATTGGCCCATCCCCGATATAAAATACTACCATATATGCATATGTATGTCTAACTGATTTCGTACGTACCACTCACTCTCGGTTCAATTGTTGTCAGCCAACGAAAATCTCTGTGAGTCAATTATGTATATGGATCATTTTTAAACGATTGTTTTTAATAAGACGCCAGACCGATTATGACCTACTATGTATTGTACTATATTGCATTGAATACCGCGGATTGTTGTCGTTGTTTAAATTTTAAATTTTAAATTGCTCGTTTTTAAGTTATCGATATTTTTGTACATTAGTTTAAGGTAGCGCATAATGAGTCCCACGAGTCTAGAGTAAATTCCTATATAAATGTATAAATACATATATTTTTTTTTTCTCCTAATTGCTAATTTCGCAATGTTGACCGATTACGCAACAGAATGTACTTATAGTAAAATTATACGCAAAGATAATTTAAACTAAACTAAATGGAACTAAGCCCCAAGCAAAACCAAACAAAACAAAACTAAACAAAACAAAGAAGTTAGCACATGTTAAAGAAGCGCAAATAAAAGTGAAATAAGACAAAAAATTTAACAACAAACTTGCCTTCGGTTGCGAGTTACTTTGTAGTGTGCCAAATCTACATCATATCAACTTTTACTCACCACAAGGTATGATGTTGCTGCAAAATAATACGAACCTAGATACAAACACTTAATGAAACCAAGACAAACCGATGCAAGTCAAGCAAAACCCCGTGCAACCAAGGTGAAATATGAAAGAAAAAACGAAGCAAACAAAACTTATTTAAATAAAAGAGAAAAACTTACAAAAAGGCTAGTTTATTTGGATGGGTAACCTTTTTTCTTTGGTTTCCCACTTGTTTTAAACGGAAAACAATTTAGTTAGAGAAATAAAACCCTTTTGGAATTGCTTTAAAATTATAGCTGTCCATCTACTTTTTACTGTATTAACATTTATATATATATTAATTACTTATTTTTTTTTTATTTTTTATTTTTTATTAGCTGACAAACACTCTTAGCACTGGGATCTAAATTTAGAATAGAGTCTACAGTCCTCTGTGTGTCCTAATTTCCGTTTAAACAGTATTTATAAGTATATTTAGTTGGCTTTTTTATAGCATTATAAGGACATTTTTTGGGAATTATCTACTATTAATTGTTTGGCAATTTTAAAAAAGTCATGGAACCCTTGAACATCTCTTTATAAATGTATGTTCTGACTTGTATAAACGAATTGGCTTTCATTTTAAGACATATTCAAGGGTTTCATAACTTTTTTAAAATTGAAAAAAAAAAGCAAATATTATGTTTAAGCTTTTAAAAGTAATAATGCGCAATGTGTGTGTGTTTTTAAAGCCTAGTTTGAATAATAAGCATCGAGGACCCCAACCGATCCACCGATTTTAAGCACTTTCCACTTTCCCCTGAAATTATTTCACAGTTATGTCACCTCTCTTCGTCAGTCTAGCATTTTTTGGTTTGCTTCTTAGATAAGTAAACTTTTATTTATGTAGGTTTTTGAAACTACACAGTAAATTCATATTTTTAAATAACTGAACAAATAACCAAAGAGTTACAAAAATATTTAAAATATTAATATGCACATGATAATCTATATAGGTAATTGAATTTAATTTTTAATAATTTTTGTTATTTTCTTAACATTTATAAAATAAACTTATCAACGCATTATAGGAGAAATACTATGCTTAAAGCATACATATTTTCAAAGCTATTCAACTCTTTGTTGTATATTTCTTGCAAGTAAACTTCGGCCACCTATGGAGCGTTCAGGGAAACTATGTGATAGATTGGGGCCTGCGCACATCCCAAAAAAAAGCTGGCCAGCTGATTTAGAATAAAGGGGTGGATGGCGGAACTTTCAAGTGCGGTGGCAACGCCACTGAAAAAAAAGCTTTCGTTCATCCCCCAAAACTCGATGTTGATGCTGTTGTGCTGCGGATTCGGCTTCTTCTGCCGCTCCGAGGGCAGAAATTCTCGGACACGGAACACGGATCACGCAGCACACAGCACGCTCCGCCATTCAGTGAGCAACATTGCGCATACGACGTGTGGTCCGAGTGGCACAAATAAATAGTTCACATTTGTTTTGCTGCTGCTACTGCTGCTGCTGCCCGTTTTTTGTTTGTTTAGCCCTGTTGGCGATTGTTGTTGTTGCTGCTGCCGCCGTTGGATTTTGTTTGTTTTTTCTGTGATTTTTTGGCCGTGTGTGCGTGTGTGTGTGTGTGAGTGTGAGTGAGTGTGTGTATGCTTGCTATTTGGCGTTATTGATAGCAAATCGCGAAAATGGGAAACTTGTGATTCGCCATTCATCAGCAGCTCATAGATTGCGAGTTTTCGTGTGACATGTAGCTGGTTTTTGTTTTTTTTTTTTTGGGATTCTGAGCGTGTGTGTGTGTGTGTGTGTGTGCATTAGTTGAGGGAGTGGTGAAAGGAGCAAAAAGGATCCGGATTCGGAATCGGTATCGGTAAGTTTTTCACCAAACATTCACATAGAAAATCATGAAATTATTTGTTTACATCTCCACTGACCCGAAAAGTGCGAAATAAATATACACATTGAAATAGGGGGGGAAAATGTGAAAAATGGGAAAAATGCGGAATGTAGCATCAGCGATTCGTTCGCAGACCTATTGTTTATTTGATCTCATGCATTGTTTCATGCCACATTGCCTCCCCCCGCGATGTGCTTGTTTTTGATTGTTGTGCACATTTGTTTGGCTCTGGTCGCGCAATCAAAATGCATATTTATGGCGATTGGGGGAACTCCCCCATTTTTTCTTTCCTTTTTTGTATTTTTTGTTGAAGGCCTGGGAACCGCCTGTAAGCATTATGTAAACCTGTGGGCTGGGTCGTTCCACCTGCGATGGTTCCGCTGCTCTGCCGTTCTAATGGCTGCGCTAATGTGCGTGGCTTTTGTCTGATTTATGCCGCAAAACAATCAAATTATTGCCAGCCAACCCCTTTCGACCACCGCGTAGCCCATTTTTTATGATATTTCTCTATTTCCTTTTTGCGGCTGCCAAGCCATTTCATTACACAGCCCCATGCATGCACTGAGATAAACTAAAACATAATTGGCAACACCGTCAAGCAGTTTAGTGGCATAAAACCGTCTTCGTTTTTGTCATAACAAAAAGGTTAAGCTAAATACATTAAATAATTTATTCTCATATCAAATTTATTGCATGTGCTTTCAATTTAACAAATCATGTAGACTTGATGCTATTGTTTAGGTTTATACATAATTCAGATAATTTTTTTTTTTGTATAAGCCAGCAGTTATAAAAATTAGTTTTCTGATTGTTTTACAAACATTTACTCAGATACAAATGTATGTTCACATATCTTTATTTGTTTCTAGTAAGTTCTTTGTAATCTATAAGTTTGATGTATTATTTTGAAATATTTGAATTAGGTAAATTATTTATAAAATTTATTGGAACTTTATAATTTCTATCATTTTATATTTTATTAATAATTTGTATATTTTTATTAATATCTAAAATAACTGTATTAGCTTTAAAGCTTTATGATTATAACTTTTTTTCCTTTGATAATTATACCGACTTGACTATTTTTCTGCAGTGCACGTTCAGCTTTCCTATTTTTTATGCCGCTCTCCTTTTTTTCGCCTTGGGTTTTCTTTTTGTTTGCGTCTTGTTTCAGCGTTGAACTAGTTTTTGGGCCACCACCGCCAACGTGGTGGGGTGGGTGGTTCAAGGAGTTCCGGGGTGGCATGCGGTTCTCTTCCGCGGTCTTCCAAGTTGGAGTACCATATCTTATATCATCACCAGCCAGCGGCTTTTTCGACGGGATCCGCTGACGTTTGGCCCGGCCAAAGTTTGTCGGTGCCTCAAGGATACCGCAGGCCAAGGACGAGGACTCTTCGAGCGCCCCTCGCCGCCTTTGTCCAGCTGTTGCATAAATTTTCGCATTTAGCTGCTTGCCTTTCTCATGTGTGTGAGTGTGTGCCATGCATGTGCGTGTGTGTGTGTGTGTGTGTGTGTATGGGGTGTCCTTTTGCGGATTTTGTGAACGTTTTATGCAGCTCAAGGAATTCCGTTGAAGACATGACAAGGCTTTTATTCTCTTGTTCTCTTACCCCCCTCGTTGCCCTTTTCTAAAGGGTGTTTAGGACCTTATTAAGAAGTGTTCTCCAGAATAAGTCTTTTCTCATCCGAACAAGTCTAGATTATCTTTCATCACGGTCTGAAAGGTGGCTTTTGTTGCATTTACTATTTTATGAAGATTTTAAGAGATATTTACATTGCTTACATCATTATTTTTAACCGTTTTTAATCATTATAATTGAATATGAAAGCTTTGAAATGCAGAAATTGAAAAGCTTCTGCAGTTTGAACTGCATTAAAAATGTTTGCACATACAAATACTTATGTTTCTACTCTATTATGCAAAAACTTTTTCCTAGCAGTTTTTCTTTCTTTACTTTAAATTAGTTTTTTGTTTACAATGTTAAATGCTTAAAACCTGGTACTTCTTAGTTTTTCTCATACGCACTTTTTAATGATGTTCGTATAGCTATTATTATGAACATTTCCATATATTTACATTTCTTATTTTATAATTTACTTTAATGGGGTGTCCCCTGGTAAAAAAAAGGAACTTATTTTCTCTACCTCTAATGATTTGGGGCTGTGCGATTATTGACAATCAGTCACCGGAGACCCTTATCAACATGAACGAAAAGATATCAATCATTTTGGCCCCCAAGCATTAGGTAAGAGTATATTTTGTTCGAGCTCTCAATTTTTCACTGGGTTTTCCGCAGTTTTCATTTGCAACCCAAACTCAAGTGCTCCCTGGCTCCGCTTTTGTCACTGCTGGCACTGCGGGGTTGTCGGGGTTACCAAGTCGGTAATTCCGGGCCCATTTGGCCAGGTTAGTCAAGTGAGCCAAGTCAGCCAAGTTAGCCAAGTGAGTGCTCGAGGATATGGACATGAAAATGGCTTCTGTTTTTTTTTTTTTTTTTGGTCCTTTGCGCATTTGTTTCGTTGTCATAACAAAATCAACAACTCAAAAAAAAAAACAAAATTGATTCCGCTTCCTTGTCTTTCGACCAGATAATTGGGTTCATTAATGCGAACATGTTCATTTGAATTATTTTTACATAAACGAGCGGAGCGCATAGCTCTTGCCAGTTCGGCAATGAAACCGCAGTTGATACACCCGATAATCCCGATAATCATTTCAGTAATGCAAAGACGGCGATATGGCACTACAAGGCTGGCGCTTTTTCGGTGTCTCGGCAACCATCATCATCTACATAGGCGGCGTTCTGTTCCTCTCCATGAACAACATTCCCGGCTCGCATCCCAAAAGACCGCGCATCGAACGCTTCGCCGAGGTGAGTCACGAATTTTACAATTTTACATTTTTACAATTTTACAATTTAGCGACAATGAAACACGAGTGGCCTGTGGCATTCAAAGGGAAAAGTACGAAAATAGCTGGGCAAGCTATTACATACCTACCATACTGTACACTGGCAGAAAGAAAAAACGAAATTAAGTGTTCCAAATGTACTTCAATTGTGCCATAAAATAATACATTTTTACGACCCTTAAAAATGCTTATCATAAAGTCAAGTGAGCAGCTCGAGTGCCATTAATCGAAAGAATAATTTAATTATTTTTTTATGTTTTAATAAAAATTCAAATAAAAGAGGACTTATTTAAATTACTAAGCATTTTTGTTTTTTTAGATTAAATAAAATAATAGAGTACTGGCGATGCTACAGAACTTTTAAGAATATTTAAATAACTTTTACAATGAAATAAATGTATTTCTGAGGTCAAATTTAAAATGCGGAACTGAACCGAATAAGAAAATTCTACTTAACTATTTATCATCATATATTAACACATATTGAACACTAAGCCCTTGCTTACATTTTATCTTGCAGTTTAAATTCAAAACACATTTAAACAATTAGCTGCGAAAATGAAGAAAATAAGTTAATATTACTTAATTATTTAACACATCATATTGAACATAAAAGCCCTATATAAGTGTAATATTTCTTCCGTTTTGTCATCTGCAGTTTCCCAGCTTTCATAGTCCTCGGTTTCCGATGCCCAGCCGCAAAATGACGATACGCTGGTGTCGCGACCTAAAGTACATAAATCGAGATCTTCCAATCTACGCGGACTACAAGGCCGACTTCTACAGTGAGTAGTTGAGTTAAGGGATGTGGCCTTTTTGACCTCTCTAACCCATTGACCCTACAGCGGCCCTGCCCAGCGACGTGAGTGCCGCCCTGCAGTCGCTGCCAGCACTGACCGCCTTGGCCAGTTTCCCGGGCAGCGGGAACACCTGGCTGCGCTACTTGCTCCAGCAGTCGACCGGCATCCTCACGGGCAGCATCTACAAGGACTATGGCCTGCTGAAGACCGGCTTTCCGGCGGAGAACGTCTGCAACAGCTCAGTATTGCTGGTGAAGACGCACGAGTGGGGCAGCAAGGCCTGGGCGCCCTTCTCGAAGGCCATCCTCCTGGTCCGCGATCCCGAGAAGGCCATCATCGCCGAGTTCAATCGCCAGAGTGGCGGTCACATCGGATTCGCATCGCCGGATCGCTACAAGCGCACCAAAGGGAAATGTACGATCTGGTTATGTATACTCTACTAATAAAATCCAATTGCGGCAATTAGGCATTAGAAACTATTATAATAGGCTCATCACCTAATATTTATGCAAGTTCATTTGATTTCATTTTATTTAAGCGCACAGAAAGCTTAATCTTAAAAGATGTTTGGATAATACCCGATTTAATCTGAAGATATTTTTCAATGGTTTTTTTTTTATTAGGTACCTATAATGAAAACGTTAAAGTGATAATATCAGAAAATATTATAATAGGTTTAAGGAACTACAGTACTTTAATTCGGAAATATCAATTTAAAAGTTCTTATTATATCAAAATATTTAAAGTCTTTCAAAGCTAAAATCTTAGCTTTAATCTTTAAATTAAGTTATGTATGATATATAAATACATAGGCAATTGTCAATTTTAATTTGGATTAATAATTTGTTTAAAAAAGCCAATTGCAATTGCATTTTATTTTGAAACAATTTTCAAATTAAATAAGAAGCTATTTTTAAAACAGACTTAATATTAAATATTAAGAGAAGTTTAACCCCTTTATATGAAAGAAGATATATTTTACCAGACTAACAAACATGTAGGCCCTTTTAATTGGGTTAAAAAGTGGCCTTGCCGTTAATCATTTCACTTTATGAGTTTTTTTTTTCTTAATGACCTACAATATAAGTAATAGTTTTTTCCCATTGCAGATTGGCAGCAATTCGTGAGCAACAAGCTCAAGGGATGGGAGATGATGAACCTCAGCTGGGCGCGCAACTTCACGGGCAGCATCAAGGTGGTGTTCTACGACGACCTGGTCCACCACACGGAGCGGGAGCTGCGCTCCATCCTGGAGTTCCTGCAGTTCCCGGTCAGCGAGCCGCTGATGCGGTGCGCCATCATGCGTAAGGAGGGCATCTTCCGGCGGAAGAAGCGCCTGCTGTCATTCGATCCGTATACGGAGTCGATGAGGGCGGAGGTGCAGAACCGGAGGCGGATAGTCTACGGATTGTTGGGGCGCCAGGAGCCGTAGGATTGTCAAATGCACTACTTTAAACTCCGGGCAACGAGAAGGGGGAATCGAATTAGTACCACCAACACAATACAAGAAAGAAACCGCAAACGAAAATCACAATTGCAACGATGAACAAGGCATCCGGAATTGCAATGCAGCTCATCACGATATATATCGTAGGACCATAGATCTCACTGGGAGTTTGCAATATAGATAGTAATGCCCCATGCCTCCGAATAACCCAAACCCAGTTCGTTCCCAATCGTTTGCTGCTCGCTTGGCGTATTAGTTCAAACCTTAGTTTAAATTCTAGGCAAGATATACCTATATTACGCATTACTTTAGGTTGATATATGTACGTATTTGGTATAGGCTATACAACAAGGTATTATGATTCCTGAACGAATTTATGAAATTCATTATAGGCCATGTTGTGCTTCATCGCTCACCCAAACTCAACTCAACTCAATTCATCCGCAACTTATCCTTTGATCACGTTGAGGTCCCATTTGGACTATCCTTGTAAAAAGTTTTATACACGACTCTACAATAACTTGTGAAATATTAACGATGGATCGTATTAGATAATTGTACAAAAACGAAAATCAAAAAATCGAATGAGAAACAATGAAGTGGATTTAAAAACTACAAAATTAAAGTGTGTTTACTTTTGGGTTGGATTTTTGAAGGGATTTACGGAAATGTCGTCTTATATATCCTAACAAACCTCCATTCAAAGCTTTCAAAAAGAAGGTAACTTTGGTGAATGTTTAAAAAAAGCTAAAAGGACCAAAGCTTTTGGTAAGTCCTTGATAATAGCTTTTTTAACTTTCAGGGTCTCTAAGAAAAGCATATAGCCTCTGTCTAAACCTGAGGCTTTTGTTAAAGCTTTAAGTGTGGAACATACTTTAAAAGCCAAAGCTCAAAGGATTTACATAAACAGCTTTTTGTATTTTCAAACGAAGCTTTCACACATAGATGGCAGTAGCAATACGAAATTTAGAATTATAAAAAATATTTTAAATGATTTTTAGAAATCTTATAATTTACTTGAGATTCTTAAATATATTTTTTGGTTATTCAATAAACATTTTTTTTTCGATAAATATATTTTTTAAAGCAAATTTAAGACCAAAATTTCACTAAAAATTCATTTTTTTGAGAATGTTTAAACGAAATCTGTTTGATTTTTAAATTCAGAGGATCCAGTCTAAAGACATAGTGGTCAACGCAAAACGCCAATTTTAAGAGGATCTGCCGAAGGACTAGCTGTAGCTCCTTTTCAAATTAATATTTGTCGCAACACTTAGTCATAAAATACCGTTAAAATATAACATAATATGTTTGCAAGGTATGAGATAATTAAATTTAGTAGTTTTCTCTGAAAAAATTTTAAAAAATTTTCTTTTTTCAGTTTTTTTTACTGTACATAAACCCTTATGATTTTTCTAAGAGATAATGACTTTAAAAATTCTCTTATATTTAGTCAATGGTTTTTTAAACGAAAAGGAATTTTGATTTGTTGCGTTGCAAAGCCAAAACAGTTGATGATAAATATTATTTAATTAAATTTAAAATAGATGTGGCAGCATCATTTTTTTTTTAAGTTTACCATTCATAGTTTTCTTTAGCTAAAGCACCCTGTACACCTGCCGAAGGGGTAACAAAGATCGGGACACCCTTTGGGTGATTTGCCATGCTGCATGCTTTTAACAGTTGCACTGCAACAACTAGGCCTCCTTCCGATACTCCCCCTCTGGACTGACCCACCTGCTGGCTATCCCTGTCCCACCACGAACGCTTCCCCGCCCCCCCTGTCTCCTCCACAGTTGCACTAACATGTACGCCCATTTTTGTTTGGCATTGTTGGCCGTTTTTTGCCTTTTGTTGAGGCTCAGCCACCCACCGTCCCACCGAAAAAAGAGGCGAAAATGTGGAGAAAAAAAATTGTGCCATATGCTGGACGCGGGTTAGGGTTTTCCAAAAAGGGGAATGTCGGGGGGGGGGGTGTTAAAAGGTAAGGGGGTGGTGGCACTGTAACTGCCATAGTGCCACCCACCGAACCACTGCGCAGACGCCGCACCACTAACGCTGGCATTGGCTTCGTCAAGTTTGGAAGGACTCGCCGGGTAGAGACACACCGCTGGCTGCCCAATTCCAGCTGAACGAAGGCGCCGGCAGCGCAGCCCGCTCCTGATGGGCGACCAATCAAAGGAGCTCAGTCAGCATTATATAAGGAATGCGGCTGCCATTTTGAGGCAGCGAAAAGGGGCCACGCCCACGCTGATAAATAATGAAAACATGTCGTCCGCCCCATTGAAAATAAACTCTGAAGTTAGCGAAACTCATCATAGAATTCTTTATCACAACACCACGCGCGCTTGTCTAGTTGTGAAATCTGTGTCCTGTGCGCTGGCGTTTTTTCAGTTTTGCGTCAACGAAAATAGTTGAATTCGTGCTCAAAAATAAACGCGGGGCGGCCAGCGGTAGCGGTAGCGGTAGCCGTACGGTAGCGGTATTGTCAAGCGGTACAAAAGCACACACATCCACATCCACACACGTACATACGCAGGAAAAAAAGAAAATAGAAGGAAAACAGGAAACGGAAATCGCCCAAAAAAAGACGGTAAACAGTTTGAACGCCGACGCCAAACCGTTTTTACCGTTTTCTCGAGTGCGCGTAATCCAATTACAGTCCAAAAAAGTCACCGACGGCGGCCAGTTTGAAACCTTTCCTTAACTTCTTTGGCAACATTTTTTTACTGTGCTTTTTTTCTCAGTTTTGTCAAATAATCGCGCCTAAATCAAATTAATACGAAGAAAAAATATATCAAAGCAAAAAACTAACCGGTCAACGGAAACAAATTTAGAAATAAAAGTGCAGTGATAAACGAGATATTCGAAGAAAGCGAATCGAAGCGAAATACCAAGAAAAATAAAAAAAAAATAGGTCGCAATCGAGCCGACCCAGTGCATTTGATATTTGTTGATGTCCTGCATGCAGGACACGCGCTAAAGTTGTCCCAGTAAGTGCTTCAAAATTTACTCGCCAACCACTTTCGACGCCTCCAGGGCGTTCAAGCTGGAGGAGGATTTCGTCGGCGGCTGCATGACAATGTCGATGTACTCGACGACGGATAAAATGAAAATGTCAGCGCCCAGTTGTTTTCCAGGACGCTACAGTCCCTCCTATCGAAGTTCGGAGCAAATGCGTCGCTGCATGCCAAATCCATCTGTAAGTATTGCCAGCCAGTCCCGTCGCTACATTCCCAGCACTCAAAATCCAAGCCAACCCAAGAGTTGAGGTGTATTTCTGTTGGACAGGCCTAAGATCCTCCAATCCATCCATCCCCCATCGCTTATTCTTAGGACATTCCTTCCGTATGTTTGGTCCTTCCCATGGTTCGAAGAATACATCGGGCGATATCATCTTTATGAGGACAAGTTATGCTGTATTTCTGATAAAAAGGCCTAAGATCCTTTCAAAAACTCCATCGCTTGTTGTCTCATTTCAGACCAACATTCTCAGCCCACTTTTTCAGTGTGTTTCCTTCCTTTGGTCCTAAAAAACTTCAAGCTTTTATATCTTAATAATAAATAATAAATTGGCAAGACAATATCTGTGCCCTAGACATATACCTTGCAACTTAAATAATATATAATATGATAATATTTCAAAAAGTCATTTTAATATATTAAAAATATTTCTGTGAGAAATATACTTGTTTTAAAGTATTTCGCTCCGTTCCGTTATCACTAATATGATAAATTCAAAGGAATCAATATTTCAGTCATGATCTTATAGAAAAAAGCTAGAAAAATAAGCTCCTAAGATGCTCCAAACAAAGAAAACTGATTTTCTAATAATTATAATAATTTATTCAAAATATCATTACAATGATAATTTACTGAATATTTATGACAATTTATATATCCTTTGATATGGTTTAAGTAAAGCTATGGGTTTAACCATTTCGTATTAGCTAAATTTAAAAGTAATTTCCCATTAATATCAAACTGTATTTACTTATGTGTGCTTTCTGCGGCTTTTCTTATGTTTGATAATAAACAATACAAAAAAACCTTAAGATCTTGCAATATTATGAATTTATTGAGTAAAAGATGAAATGATTAAATGCTTAATATGTGCCCCAGTTATTTAATTAAATATATTTTAAATACATTTACATTATTCATACCAGTAGATAATGATCATTTATAAGACAGTTATAATACTACGGAATATCCTTCCTTCTACAGATTCACATCTCATCATCTTGCGATTCTATCGAGGTATGATTTCTGCATCAGTACGTTTTCTTCAAAAAATTTCCCTGAATCATTGCAAAACTAATTGATTTTGCGATGGTATGTAATCAAAAACTTTATGCAATCAAAAAACTAAAAGTCATCCCATCGTTCATGGACTATAACAATTTTCTTACAATGTGTATCCATCAATTAATTTCAGTTTACTTGTCATAGAGAGGTGAGGTTAAAATCGCTTGATATGTGCTTAATTTATTAAATTACATATTATTAGCCTGTTTATTTAAATTTTGGGGTAATAGTAATCGATAATATCAAGCTTCTGCTCAGTAGCTAATGTAAACATAAATCAGAAACCATATTTTATAATATTTTTTCTTATCCCCGAATTTGAAAAGATTATTAGAACCATATTTAAGCTGCAAGTAAACCGATAGTAAATGATATAATTTCTTAAAGCTAAAATATATGGATTGTCAACAAATATTTGAATTTATTTGACTATGTATATCCTTTAAAATAAATAAGAAAAGTATGAAAAAAGATAAATTCAACATATAAGTAAAGGCTCAAATTTGTATGAATTCCCTTGAATGTAATTCTATAATTCATTTGTTTTGTATTAAAACCAATGAACGAAAGTTTTATCTTCTAATAATTATGTTTCAAGACATTTTTCCCTTGCATATTTCATATTTATTTCAAGAGAAATCATTTGCTTAACACTTGGTAATTTTATCTAATGCATACAAGTTTTATATACATTATTGTCAATGAAATTAGATTAGGTCAATTAGTTGGAGTTTGTTCTTACATTGTTTCTGATTTGATTAAAACTATTTTGTATATATCTCTTAAACATATTTTATGATAACTTTTTCATTTACTTAGTGTAATCAGGGTTTCAAGCAACATTTCTCGTTGAGACCAAGCAAATAACAATATCAAATAGGGAAAGTTTGCCATTATATCACAACCTGTTCCTGTGACCCGCAAATAGGCTTTCCATTCATACTTTCTTTCGCATTCCGCAGCTGAACAAATCCCCCCGACTTGGAAACCAGCTCAGCAATATATAGAGCTTAGGGATGCCCTGTTTTTCCTGCCTGAATGCATTAATAACGAATAATACCGAGTATTTGGCAGGCGTCTCGCAGTTTGCCAAGTGTCCTACTGAATCTTTTATGAGCTTTGAGTTAAAAATTGAATGGGAACATGAGCAGACATTAAATGGTTATTACCGACAGTTCTCAGACAGGTTTATTGATGCCGCCAGTCTGGGGGCCAGAAATACAGGTAAAAAGTAATAGGAAACGGAAATGGATATGGAAATGCATTTCCACTTCTGCCTGCGAGAATTTCCGGTACATATTTGTCTTAATTACGGCGTGAATGTCGTTAAAGTTTCCCGGTTTTATGGGTCTAACGGTGCCCACTAAACGAACCCAAACTCAAGGGTTGTGCAGTAACCTTGAAAAGTGATTTGAAATTCATTTGCATTAATTATTTACCAACTATTTGTATGCGCTGCTGACCAGCTAGACAAATAAAAAATGTAGCAGCACAGAGTAGAAGAACAAAGACGGGGAAAAATATGAGCTTGCTGAACGAATGCGGTTTTACCCTGGGTAAAAAATTTCTCTTTAAAGGGTGTTTCGCTATAAATACTTAACATATGTATTCGTTATAATGATTATAGTTTATGATCAACTTTAAATCAGTACTTTTAAAAGACAATCTCTTAAAACATTAAGTTTTGTAAGTGCATTAAAGTTTGAATATCTAATTTTTTCAACTAAATTAAAATTATAATCATTTATGATAACTAAAATAAAACAATCGATTTAAAAAACAAAAAGAATAAAGAAAAGTGCAGAAAAGTAAATAGAATAAAAATTAAATAAAATAAATTATCTTAACTTACAAAAGAGAATAAACTAATCCTGATATAGTATTAGTGCGGTCTCAGACTTAAAATGCCCCAAAAGTAAGCTCCTTAAATATGGAAATTTAAAAAGTCGCTACTTGAATTTCAATTGATGTTTAGAAACACCAATAAAAACTAAGTGGCATGGCGTTTTATGAAGGAAAAATGTCTGGAGTTTGCCCTCAAGTTGTGCTACCCTTTGCTAGGGCATAAAATGTGCATAAACAAATGAGAAAAGAGACTTGAAAATTGGACGAAAATGTCCAGGGTCGGGCGAAAAAAAAAGTTGATTGCCTGAACAGGTGAATGGCAGTGTGGGGAGGGGGCACCTTTTATTCTTCACCCCGCCGACCACGGATTTTCTTGTGGATTTTCCAACCCCGCCTGCAAGTCCTTAAATTAATCCGACAGAGAAGCACTTTAAACACAAAAATATAAAAAAAGGGAGAACAAAAACAAAAAAAGAAAATCACTTCAAGTGTATTTTTCTTTAAGAGGCAACAACTACATTTGCTTATCGGATTTGTCTTTCGCCTCAACCACCCCACCCCTCCTCACTCAACTTTGACCTCTCACCCCCTTCAGCTGGCCGTTAGCCACTTTTCGGCTTTTTGGAAGCTGCCAGCGGACCGAGCTGTTGAATGATCAAAGCGGCGGATTTATAGGATTTATGTGCTACCCTTGGCTGGGCATTAAGCCGGTGAAAAGGCGGGGGGAAAACGCAGGGGGAAATTGCAGGGGGTGGGACACCGACAGAGACGCGCTTTTTGGCTGGTTACAAAAACACTTAACGCCTTGCAGTCCATTAAATGGAAATTTGTCGCCGATCCCCAGGACGCCGTAATAAACTCGTTGAAGGAAGAAAAAAAACAGGAAACGAGAAACGAAAACCAAAAACCAAAGAAGTGAGATTTTTCAAGGGGCGGAGTTTTTGGCACTGTCATTTAACTTGAATTGTTTGCCTGCCGCGTTAAATGGACAGCGGCGGCGTTAATTTGATTTAAATATTCATAAACTGCATTAAATGGGCGCGACATTAAAACGAAAACCAGCAGGCAAACAATTGACAAATTATCGGCAAAACAAAAACAAATGAAAGCGAAGGCGCAGGAAATATAAAACCCGTAATTCACAAAATGAGTGAAGTCGGATAAAGGAATTAAATTGAAGGATTAGCAGCACAGTTCCAGCTGAATGAAAGATTAAACAGAGGAAATGGGAATATTGTCATTAATATATGAACAAAGTCCTTTAAGTGCTCAAAGAGAAAGATAGTTTGTTTTTACCATACATATATATATATTATTTTAAATACAGAAATATTTTTTTAAGTAAAAATATGATGTTAAAACAAGAAATTTACATAATATTTTTATAAATTAGAAGGAAATGCTTTTACTTTAGTTTAAGTTAATTATATTCCAATAGTAGTTTTTTAAAAGTTGAACAAAATTGTTTTTAAATCTGAAAGACTGTCTACTTATCTGTCTTGTAATAGCATCGAACAACTCCTTTAACTTTCTTATATTACTAACTCAAAATGTAGCTTAACTTAAATGATATCCTGCGGGTGTTTTAAAGTATTCCCTTGGAATTTAATTGCTCCAGAATTTGGAGGCTTGTTTTGCAGCGCAATCGATAAAATTAAGCATTCAGCATTGCGTATCTATTTGCACACATCATAAATATTAAATTCCCACAAAACAAACAGGAAAAAAAAGAGAAATGATATATATATAAGGAACACACATGGGAGACTCACGTGGAGAAAAACGGACACACACACACAAACAAGTGCGAGACAGAAAGAGAAGGACGAAAAGGAAAAAAAAACAGTTCACTTGATTAATTTTTCACACTAATAAAGAATTTATGTGCAAGTGTCAACCTGCACTGCGATGTGTGTGTGTGTGTGTGAGTGTGCGAGCAGGTCAAGACAGGGCCCCGGACATCTTCCCTCTCTCTCTCTCCCACTCTCCCTCTCAAAGCCTGGCCTAGGTCGTGACTAGAAAGAGAAGGCACCAGGTCCTGGCGCTGCATAATTTGATGAATGACTGCGCATATTAATTCATAAATTAATTTACTCTTGCATTGCGGCGCAAAATTTATTGGCCAACAAACTGTTGCGAATTCTGGTCAGGAGTGTTTTCCGCATTTTGTTGGCCCTGCAGAGGGTAATAAACACATCTAGAAGCTGTAAGGCAGGATGTTTACAATTCTAGAGTCCTTGTGGGTGAAGTTAATTTGCTAATTTAGCTCTGAACGATTACAATCAAAGGCCAACTCTTGCCAAAATGTTTTATCTCTATTTAGTAAATTAGATCCTTTTTGGCTTCCTCATCAGCGTTTAAACTATTTCATCATTAAATTTTTATCATTTTAAACAAACAAATAAAACACAAAATTAAATTCTTTAAAAATTTCTATTACATTTGGTATAATAATTGGGAATTAATAAAATTTTAAAGTTGAAGCAGAAAAAACTTTGTTTCAAAAAGTTTTTCTAAAACCAAATAATTGAAAAACATTTATAAAAGTAAAAGTGTATTCTTATAGATGATAAAAGTAATTTTTATGTTTTGATTTAAAACTAAAATTTCGAACCCTATAAGAGTTTTATGCTTTAAAGGATATTTAGATACAATTTTGGCATAGAATTTTATATAATGTCGAGTACTTGTTCTGTAAATATAGCCGACTTATCTCACCTCTTCCCTTTTTTGTTCGGTCCTTTATGTCTCGACCCAGATGAAGACTGTAAAGTAGTCATTGGCATCCGTTACTTTGGCATCCTGTAAAGGGGACACGCATAAACGTGGCCATTAAAGGATCTGTCGGTAACAAGACCCCAACCCTTTGAACACCCGCACCCACTTGCAAGTGCAAACAAACTGTCGCTGTCAGATTATTTGCACAAGCCTCCCTTTCCAGTGCCACGCCCCCACCAACGACCAACGCCCCCTTTCGACCAAGTTTAAGCGACAATAAGGGGTCGGCCATGGTCGCATGGTTGCATGGTCGCATGGTCGCATGGTAAAATGGTAAAATGGTCGACTGGTCGAATGGGCCAAGACGTCATTAAGAATGCACAACATTTTGATTTGTACAATGGTCGCCGCCCGGTTATTGCGGTCCTCCTTGGGCCAAAAAGAGACAGCCTGCCGCAGAGAGAGGGAGATGGGTAGCGTGGGGGCGATAGAGAGGGGTATAGTCCTACACAGAGACAATACACTTATGGAATTTAAATTCTGTACACAAAAAAGGCAATTTCAAAACATCTTTAACCATTTCTTTAAACCTTAAGACTTTATTTTTATTTAACAAACTTTAAACTTAAGCTTAAGACCTTAAAATGTTGCTGTGAAATGTACTACTTCAGCTGTTTACAAATTAATAAGGTGTATCAAAGAGATACCTGTTTTAAAAACATTTGATTTAAATATAACAAAGATTTTAAAATCAGCAAATATATTTGCTATTTGTTCTAATACCTACATGTAACTTTACTTAAGTGACATTGTATGTACAGCTATTTTAATAATACATGTTTTAAATAGTGGTAATTAATTAGATAGATTAGATAATATCTGTGCGACAAGAAATTCTTCCCAATTAAGGGAAACCAATTAAAAGCCCATTTTTTCTGTGTATCTGCGAGTCCTTCGAATTACGCCTTTCGCCTGCAAATGGGCCGCAAAAAGTGAGCGATGGCGATGCCGATGCGGATGCCAATGCCTCTTGGCCTCTTGGCCATGTGGGTTCCATCTCATTCACACTTAACCCCCTCTATTTTCGTCTTTCGTTTTCGTCGTGCGGCGTTTTGAAGTTTGTGCGCATCTAAATAATTGATTAACTGAAAAATTCGTGCGAGCTTCGTGCACAGAAGGAGTTTGCTCCATGCACAACGTACATATATATATATGTATGTATATATATATATATCTATATATAAAATATAAAATCGATAAGACTGGAATAATAAAGACCACGACGACGGCGACGACATGAAGATGAGCAAACGGGCACGGGATCCGAAAAACTTTTGATATTATTTATTTAAAAACCAGTGGAGCTAGTGGAACGGTGGGTTGTGTGTGGGGGGACCGGCAAAAAATCAATACGAGCCGAGCTGGTTAAAGGCTTTAAGGTCGTGGAATCTCAAGAACTTCTTTTCTTACAAAATAAAAATAAAAAAAACCAAACCAAACCAAACCAAACCAAACCAAACAAAAATAATTGCTGCAGTGGCACATCAATCTTTACACAATACTATCGATGTTTGTTCCGTCTTTTCAGAGTCGTTTATTAGAAGATGCTTCCCTATTATGCAATTCGTGGTCAGCACGTCAGAATGTAAGTTATCATCTAAACACTACAACTACAACTACAACTACAGTTGATTACAAGCCAGTTGATTAATTTTCCTTTTTGTGAAATTCATTTTTGATACGTATGCATTTGATCTCTCTCGCCGAACGCCGACCTATATATACATATATGTCTCAGTATATCTATATGTATGCCAACGTGTAGCCAAAAAAATTCTAATTGGATTTGGGTGATTTGATCTCTGTTCCCTATTGTTTCGATTGTGTTCTTGCCTGTGGACCATATATACATACATATATCAATATCCCTGCATCCCCAAAACAAATCTTTTCCAACTGGGCCTACTGACTACACCCATTTCCGATCTGTTTGTTTTTTTTTCTCCACTCCAGGGTGATATCTTCGCGGGCATCAACGATGGCATCCTCAGCAGAGCGGAGGCCCTGGCCGCCGTCGACATCCAGAAGCATCAAGCCCAGCATGTACATAGCCAAATGCCCTCCCAAATCAAGCACGACGTCATGTACCACCATCACTCCATGAGTGGGCCCCCGCAACGTCCATTGCAGGTGAGTCCTGGCCAAGAAGTCTTCAATTATTGGGGGAATTCACTAATTCAACCGGAGATTATGCAACATCTTGAACACATCTTTGAGAAAATCCCTAAAGAAACACTTTTGTTCTGGAGATTATGGAACATCTTAAACGTGCTAAGCAAATAATTAAAACGCTGGAAAAAAGTCCACAATTTTTATTTTAAAATGTCTTTAAGAATATCCTAAAAAATACTTTAATTTTGGAGATTATGGAACATCTTAAGCATCTTAAGCAAATATATTTTCGATAATTCTTATTTTGAAATATCTTAAAAGTTTAATTAGAACTTAAAAAAGCAACTACCCAAATTAAGCTTAACTTTCGAAAAAAAATGTTCGCTTCTTATAACTTGTTGTTATTTAAAGGATTTTTAAAACCGCTGGATTGCGAGCTTAAGTCTTTGGGAGAACTCAAGTTATATACAGTTTTACAGTTTTTACAGTTTTGAAATATTTACTTGTATTGTTTTTTTTTGTAATTACTTAACTGGAAATAACCTATTTCGTTCATCTTAAAATTAGATTTCCGGGGGTTCTTTAACTTTTACTTGTACCCTTCTAATTTGATGGATATTTTAGAAAATTATTTTTTTAAATATTAGAACGTAATAATAACACCCTAGCAAGGAACTATTATTATAATCCTTTGATATGAATTGCATCACAGTTTTAGAATCGTGTTATTTCCCTTGAAAACAGTAGTTTCAAACAGCAGTTTCATTCCAAATCCTTTGCAGCTTTGTTTGATTAGCCAGGACAACGAAGCCGATCTAGTGTAGAAAACAGAGGCATATGTGTATGGGGCCAAGTCCCAGGTCCGGAAGTTGAAGCCCAATGGTTGATTGAACCCAACCAGGACCCCCTCCTTTTTTTGCGGTCACCTGTGTGTATATAAGTGTGGCTCGGATATGGCGTATTAGCCAATGTCTAGAATGCTGGGCTGCAAATTATGAAAGTCACTCCCCGATAAAGAGGGGTTTTCAGCGGGGAAACGGAAAAGTGGAGAGGGAAAGGGGGAAAGGGGGAAAAGGAAACCATCGCATTGGGACAGCCGAGAACTTCAATTTCCGTTTTCGATGGTCACACGCATGTCTACCTTCTAGATACACACACAAACTACATATATAGATGTAAGTGTGTGCGGTTAATTTGAAATGTTTCTTTAATAAAATTAAAATTGTGACGTGTAAGCCTTCTGGGAACGTGCCACGTGACGGTCGTTTGCCAGGTAAGCACATCATGATTCGTGTCGTTAATTGTATTGTACTTCAACTCGAACTGGGCGTTCCGCAGCAAAGAATTTCCCGAAAGGGGGCTTAAGGCCCAAGTGGTGGTGGTGGTGGTTGCTGCTCTATTAGAAGTTGATTGTAATCAAATTACACCAGCAACCTGTTTTTTTTTTTTTTTTTTTTTTGTACCGGGCCTCCAGCTAGTTGTAGGTTGTAGTTGCTCGTGTTGCTGTTGCTCTTAGCTGGTGTTGCTGTTGCTGTTGCTGCTGCTGTTGGTATTGCTGCTACTGTTGCTGTTGCAGTTGCCACTTGTTCTCGGCACAATCGAGCATGACGAAAGTGCGCCCTGTCCGCGGTGGTTGATGTGGTTGTCGACCCCTTCCCCTCATAGGTAAAATAATCCACCCAACGCCAGTGGCAGTCCCTCCTGGCACATAACCCATGGCCCACAGCCCACACACCATAGCCCATAGACCATAGCCCTTGGCGCATAACCCATAACCATTCCCAATTGCCAGCGCGTGCTGTCCTTAATTTTTGGCAGGCAGGCAAACACACTCGACAGCAGCACTCGAGAGTTTCGATTTCGAGTTCGGTCTCAGGTGCCGGCCAACTCTATCAATCACCCACACTCCAGAGGCCTCGAAGGCACTCGAACTCCCCCTCCATAATATATATCAGTCCCCATTCCTATTCCCATGCCCGCACACGATCTCCGATTCGATTGTTAACAAATTGGCTTTTCCGGCAAGTGGAGGGTGCCCATAAAAGGCTTATTAATGAAGACAAGAAATCAAAGAGCTCTCCGCTCGCCAAGTCTCAAATAACAAAAGCAACTTTAACTGATTGGGAAAAAAAGCCTTGACAAATTGTTTACAAAACAAAACTAGCATAGAATAGAAATAAAATAAAATAAATGTAAAACAAAACGTAGGATTAAAAAAAATATTAATTGAGTAAATATCTTGTGATAAATAAAAGTTTTTAAATAGATAAGTCTTAAGCCAAAATATAAAAAAGGCAATTGAATGGTAAAATAAATTTCAAGTGATATATATGTTTATGCAATAATCATTCTTATCCAATCTAAAATGACTACTATTTTAATGCAATGCATCATTTCTTGAAATGAAAAAGTATTCTCCTTTTTTGAAAAAACTATGAAAGCCTAAAATACCTTTTGTTAAACATGTGGCATTCTATACTCTATAATTTTCCCTGCAACAAACAGATAAAACAGTTTTTGTTCTGTAAACTTTGTTAAGCAACTTTTTAAAGCCTCTATAGTTTTTGTTGAAATCAGTATCTGTAAATTGTCTTCTTCCATTATTTGTATTATTATTGTAGGTCTTAAGATACCGCTTGAACTTTCCAGAACCGCACCGTGATATGTATAACCCTTCGATGGGAGACACGACACATTGTGTCAACCGCAAACAAGTTCGAAGTTCGGCAACTGACCCACCCAACCATAAGTCCGCAGTCCCACATCAAATATTGAGACCCCAAAACAGGGCTATGTGGGAATAACCCAGTGCCAAACAGCTGGACATTCGGCGGCCATTTAGTACAGATACTATATACTACTAAACCCCAATATTTGGCACATCGATAGCATGTTTATTTTTAATGGCCAGCATGGGGACCGTGGCAGCAGGTTAATTCCTGGTGCAATTTCTCGCCTATGGTGCCAAAATCGTGAATGATCATCGGGCTATCAGATGCTACAGGAAACTGGCCACTCCTTGATCAAATCATCATTGGACTTCACCTCGTCCATGTCGGCAGATTGATTGAAATGGAGATCGGTCTTAAAGTCGGCCTCCCATTTTGTTTTACCGACCTTCGACTGCATTATCAACAAAGTCTGCGATGCTGTAGTTATGTTTATCTCTTATCAATTTTTCATTCTTTCTTTTTGTTTGGTTTATTTATTGTGTCTTAGGACATTTATTTTAATTTTGATTTCTCCAATAATGTGCCGAAAGATAAAAGAAGAATAGTAATAGCATCTAAAGCAGAGTATCATAAATAGAAACGTTACCATTTTTAAAAGAAAATTTGGCATTAATTATAAAAGAGCCTAGTAATTTTATTTGACAGAAGTATTTTTGTGTGGGAACAGCTACACCGAAAGAAAAATAGTCATGGAAATGCAGCCATTTTTACTTTTCACTGTAAAAACTTCTTAATTAAATGCGTTTTAGGTAACTTCTTGTAAAAGTATCAAAAGGAAACATTTGCTAATAAAATAACACAACAGATCTCAAAATGTTAACTCTTAAGTTTATAGTTTATAATTCAACATAATCTCTTAAAATTAGAACTTTGAATCATTTGTTTGGGTGTAGCCCCACCAGAGTAGTACCTGTTTTCCGAGTTAAAGTTTTGACAGCCTTGGTTTTCCAACTCCGGCTAATTGTGCCCCATCCTGCCACCTGAGCTCCCTGCCCTGCCATCCCCAAACCCTTTCGCATGGAACACCTCAGGCCCCCGAGGAAAAACTCGGTTACGGAGATGGAGAGGTGGGCTGTCAGAAAGTCTGGTAACATGTGTCATAATCGTTATGCCAGAAGACAGAGGGCCCCCAGCGCTGTGGCCCAGCCAACATTACAAAACTCATTAAATTAAACTAATTTACGAGCCCGCACAGCCCCAATCCAACTGGTTTGCAACTGGTTTTCGGTTTTTCTAGCATATGAAAAGCCAATTATGTGGAGAGGCAATCGCAATAAAAACGAGGCGCCGGCAAAAGGGTAAACAAGAGTAAATATAATGCTAATTAAAATAATCATATCCATCATAAAACTCGCTGCTCACTGGGGTGGGTCTAAATTCTAAAGTCGAGAATCGTGAATCGTGAATCGAGAGTCGAGAGTTGAGGGTCCAGGGTTTTGTTGTCAGGTTGTTGGAACATTTGTAACAATTACGGCGGCGGCAAATATCCATTATCAATTTCATCCCAACTGTGCCAAATGCACAAGGGAGCAAGGGAGCTCAGTTTTCTTTACGGGATGACCACTTTGCTGGCATTTATCACAGATTTTTCCGGTGACGAACTTATGCTCCGATCTGGTTGTTCCATATTTTCCATATTTTCATGGGCAAAGCCCATGCAACCCTTGTGTGCAGCCCAGCTCACTTAATTCAATTTAAATTACACTTACATATTTCCGGCCGGGGCACGGTCATATCCTGTCCATTAGTATTCGCAACATATGGCTCAATTTCCCTCGAATCGTTTTCCGAGCACGCACCGCCCAAAGGGATACTGGGATACAGGAATACAGGGATACAGGGATTTGGACTCAGGTCTCAGGTCTCAGCTATTGCAGGTCCTGTAGTGCCTGCAGTTGAATCAACCACAAGTGGTTTATCATATTGAAATTCATTTAGTGCACCTGTTTGATTTTTCCTGTCCTGAGCCCGTCCTGCGGTCGGCATATTGTTTTGTAAATATCGTTAACTCACCATTGCCACTCCACACGCAATTCAGCAAAGGAAACCCCAGTTCCATTTCCATTTCCACTTCCTTTTTTGGCCCTTTGTTTTTATTTAGTTGGCCCAGCGGCGACAGGCGACAACAGCAAATATTTGTCTTTTGTGCACATTAGAAACAACTTACCGCTAACTAGGGTGGCTGCCAGGGTGGACCTTCGGGGGATCCCCGGTGAGCGCTAGCCAAAAAATATATCCTGGGTGCCGTTAAAATGTATGTCTATTTATATATGGTAGTCAAGCTAG